ATATATATATATATATATATATATATATATATATATATATATATATATATATATATATATCATGTGATAAGATAGAATAATAAAGATTAATACTTCATCTAATAATACATAACAATTCATAACAAAATACTTTTCAATAAAATAAAAAACAAAACTTTCGTTTTTATTTGTACAGCACTTTAGAGAGTTAATTGGGGCCAAACTGGAAGTTGAAAATTACAAAAAGAATTCAAGAGATTTGAAGTGCAAGCAAACGGCAATCGACCCCCAAAGGAGAAATAAAGGGGAAATAAATGATTATAAATGATTATAAGTGGCAATAAATGATAAGAAGTTGTAATAAATGATTACAAACGAATTAAAATGAGTTAAAATGAATTGAAATGGAAAAAAAACGAATTAAAACGAATTAAAATGAATTAAAATGAACTAAAAACCACCAAACTAGAACGAAATGACGAATTCAAGAGATCTGAACTGCAAACAAACGGCAATCGACCCCCAAAAGAGCAATAAATGAAGAACAAAAGAATACAAGTGATAATAAATGATTAAAAATGAATTAAAATGAATTAAAATGAATTAAAATGCATTAAAATGAATTAAAATAAACCAAAATAGACCAAATTCGCCCACTTCTTCGCCCGGGCCAAATGCCCGCAAGCCGCTGGTCCCCAGCTGAGGGGCCCCCGGGCTCATCTCGCCGGGTCTTCTGCAAACTAAGAGAATTTGGTCTTCTTTCAATTCTTCTATTTTGTTTATTCCAGAACCTGCACGCAAACCCTAAACCCTAAACCCTAAACCCTAAACCCTCACGGCCAAACAGGTCCTCTAGACGGTCTTTGTAAACTGCGCTTTTAAGCCTTCTGAGAGGCCTTTTCAGAGGCTTTATACACCCTAAACCCTAAACCCTAAACCCTAAACCCTAAACCCTAAAACCCCCAACACTAGATCCTACACCCCACAAACACTAGACCCTCAACCGTATACCCTAAACCCTAAACCCTAAACCCCAAACCCTAAACCCTAAACCCTAAACCCTTCGTTTCTAGGAGGTGTTTCGAGTTTGGAGGAGTTGGCGGTTTCGCTGGTTGTTGGGGTGTACGTACAGTTGCAGATTTGGCGGACGAGTTCTTCCTTTTCATCTTCCATTAAAGTTGCTTGTGGCAGTTCATCTTCGAGTGCTGCATGCAGCAGCCGCTGCAGCAGCAAGCAGCAGCAGCAAGCAGCAGCAGCAAGCCCCACACACGCCATTCCGAATTTCGCTCAACAGCGGGAAGCAGCAGCAGCACACATGAACTGCACAGAGCCAACCCGCAAACGACACCAGCAGCAGCAGCAGCAGCAGCAGCAGCAGCAGCAGCAGCAGCAGCAGCGGGCCCCCGCGCCGCCGGCGAGCAGCAGGGTCAGCACGGGCAGCCGGAACCTCTGCGCCGCAGCCCCCGCAGCAGCCCCGCAACTGCACCTGCTGCTCCGCAGCAGCAGCAGCTGCTGCTGCTCCGCAGCAGCAGCAACAGCAGCAGCAGCAGCAGCAGCAGCAGCGGACCAGGGCGAGGGTCTTGGTCTGCTGCTGAGAGAGAGGCAGCAGGGCGTGGAGGTCCGCAGCAAAAGCCTTGGAAGCCGCAAAGCTGGCAGCAAAGGCGAGGCGCAGCGGCGCCGCGTGAGGCAGCGGCAGCGACAAAGTCAAAAAAGGGTCGAAAGTGACGGACAGCCGCCGGCAAAGCGGACACAAAAGCCGCGAGCGATACTGCCCTTGAAAGAGCTCCACCACGGCTGAGTTGTGCACCTCCAAGTGCCGCCGCCAACTCCGCAAAGCTGTCACGCTCTCGCTCAGACCCGCGCTGCCTTCGATCTTGTCCTGCAGCAGCAGCAGCAGCAGCAGCAGCAGCAGCAGCAGCAGCGGCGGGGGAGAGTGAGGGGAGGGGGAGCAGCAGCAGCAGCAGCAGCAGCAGCAGCAGGGGTGGCGCCAGCAGCAGCAGCAGCAGCAGCAGCAGGAGCAGGTGCTCGGGGGAGCGGCTTGGAGGGAGAATGGGCGAGTTTCCGGGAAGCGAATGTCCGCTAACGAACTCTTTGTTTATTAATTAAATATTTGCGCATTTATAAGTGCAAAGAGCTGCTGCTTTGCTGCGCGGGTGGGAATTTGAACGGCGGGGCAATCGGCAGCGCAAAAGTCCGGCTCTTTGGCCGCAATTCGTCAGCTGCTTTGCTTAATTCAAATAAACTCAGAATAAACTCAAGTAAACTCAGCTTCTAAGGACTATTTCTCGCATGTTTCCCCAAGATTCGCCGCTATCTCGAACAACTTGCTGCTGCAACTGCTGCTGCGGCTGCTGCTGCGGCTGCTGCTGCGGCTGCCACCGCCTCCAGCCCAGTTACCTCGTAGTAAGGCTTCTTGCGGACTCTGTTGAGGTCTTCGTGAATGCCGTCGAGCAAAAACGCCAGCAGCTCTTGAGTGTCTTGCTGGGCGAAGCCGAGGAACTCTTCCCGCACCTCGCCCACGGCCCACTTGAGCTCCCGGGGGCCGAAAGCCGTTTCGTTCGAAGCCCACAGCGCCTGCAAGCGCGAAAAAAAGCAAAAAACAATTAAAATTAAACAAAAGGAATTCAACAAACCCAAAATCGCCTTTCGAATCCTCCAGATCCTCGCGGATCCAACGCTGTTCAACTTTCTGCATGCCCGGGCGCCGAAAGCGGCTCCAGACGCAGAAAGAGCCGAGAAACCGGGGGAACAACCCGCATATAAATATAAACGAGAAATAATGCACAAATTATAAATAAATAGACATAAATGAATTCATAAACAAACAAATTGAACAAAAAAACCACAGCCGCATGCAAGGAAACCAAGTAAGTGAACAACACACCTGCACAGCAGCAGCAACAGCAACCCCAGCAGCCAAAACAGCCTCAGCAGCCAAAACAGCCCCAGAAGCCCCAGCAGCAAAAACAGCCCCAGAAGCCCCAGCAGCAGCCCCAGCAGCCCCAGCAGCAGCAGCAGCAGCAGCGGCAGCAGCAGCAGCAGCAGGGGACCTTGAGGGTCTTCGCGTAGGCGTCGGCGAGGCGGCCCTGCGTGCCCATGCAGTTTTGTTCGTTGATGTCGGCCTTGTAGGCGCCGCTGAGGAAGTAGCGGGAAAAAGGAAGAACAGCAGAAAGGCACTGCACTGCAGCGTTTAGAAAGCAAGTGTTGGCCAAGTTGACGAGGCCCACGAGGCCGCCGGTGGCGAACCAGAGGTCCACCAGCGGGTCGTTCAGGCCCCGCGGCCCTGCTGCTGCTGCTGCTGCTGCTGCTGCTGCTGCTGCTGCTGCGGGGGCCAGCCCGCGGTTCGCCGCGGCCAGCGGCAGCACGCCCCCGCCCAGCGCCGGCCGCTGCAGCGCTGCTGCTGCTGCCGACGCCCCGGCCGCCCCCAGCGGCCACGCTGCTGCTTCCTCCTCGGACTCCTGCTGCTGCTGCTGCTGCTGCTGCTGCATGCACACGCACGCCGAACGGTGCAGCAGCACCACTCCAGCCCCGTCAACTAAGTCCGTCTCCTCCACCAAAGTGTCCAGAGGCTCGCACACGCAGCTCCAGCTGCTCGGAGGTGCGAACAACGGGGGGGCCCCCAGGGGCCCCCCGGGGGCCCCGCGGCCGCAGCTGCAGCGACACGTGCAGGAGGGCATCGTAGGGCTCTACGCCTGCAGCTTCCTTCAGCTGCAGCATTCGCAAGCAGCAGCAGCAGCAGCAGCAGCAGCAGCAGCAAAACAGGGGGCAAATTGGCAAGAAATTGAAAAGTATTCTTAAGAAACATGCAGATGCTGCAGGCAGCAAATTGTGCATGCGAGCCACGCCGGGGAAAGAGAGCAGCAGCAAGAAGCCGCAGCAAAAGGGAAGAAAGGAAAGAGAGATCAAACGGCAGAGAGAGCAGCAAAGACAAGAGGGCTACAGAAAAAGGCAAGCAAAGTAAGCTGCTGCTGCTGCTGCTGCTGCTGCTGCTGCTGCTGCTGCTGCTTCACCTTGTGGATAACGAGGTCGAGCGCGTCGGATCGCGTGGCTACGAAGTCGGCAACAGGTTCTGTTGCTGCTTCTCTGCAGCTGCTGCTGCTGCCCACAGCGCGAAACGCATGCAGCAGCAGCGGCTGCACCTCCACGTGCAGCCGGCCGCCCTGTCTGTACACCCCGCGGGGCACTTCGATGTCGTAAGGGACCCACGCAGTCATAACTGTCCAAGTGTCGGAGTCGCAGACTTGAAACGCCAGGCCCTGCAGCAGCAGCAGCAGCAGCAGCAGCAGCAGCAGCAGCAGCAGCAGCGGCAGCCGCAGCAGAGCAGCAGCAGCAGAGGCAGCCGCAGCGCGCGAAATGGGTTGTCTTTTGCAGTCTTTTTAATCCTAAATAACAAATAAACTTCAAATAAAAGAAATGCAACAGAGAGGAACTCAGGAGTCCGCAGGATCGCAGCAGCGGCGCTGCTGCGGCGCCCGCGGCTGCAGCAGCAGCGGCAGCAGCAGCAGCGGCAGCAGCGCGAGCGGCAGCTTTCCTGTACACAGTTGAATTATTTTGTTTGCTTTCTTCTTTTTTATTTATTTTATTTATTAAAATGCATTTAAAAAGAGACAAAGGGCCCCACCATCTGCTTCTCCACCCCCGTGGCCAGCCGCGAGCGTTTTGTTGCAAATCCGTTCTTGATGCTGTCGGGCGACAGCAGCGGCGCGTTCGCGATGCGCAGCTGCTGGTGCTGCTGGTGCTGCTGCTGCTGCTGCTGCTGCTGCTGCTGCTGCTGCTGCTTGGAAAGGGCAACGAACTTCTCTAAACCGCTCAGGACTTGAGCTGCGGCCTCTGCTGACATGCTCGCGCGCAGGCGAGTCGCCTCCTGCTGCAGAGCCTTCAGAAAGCCAGCATTCACCACGTACCTGCAGCAGCAGCAGCAGCAGCAGCAGCAGCAAAGCAGCACTTCTGGCAGCAGTAGCAGCAGCAGTGGTAGCAGTGGCAGCTGCAGGATCCGCGAGAGTTGCAGCAATGGTAGCAGCTGCAGCAGAGGAGGCACTGACGGTAGCAGCAGCAGCGGCCTTAGCAGCTAGCTCTAAAGAAGCAGCAGCAGCAGCAGCAGCAGCAGCACAGAGCAGCAACAGAAGCATTCCGCGCAGCAGCCTGCCAAGCAGCGCGAGCAGCAGCAGCAGCAATCTGCTGCAGCTGCTGCTGCTAAGCCGCAGAGCCAAACCCACCAGGTCTCGCCTTGGCTTAGGGGGGTCATACTTCCTCTTTGCCAGACTTCCCACAGCTGCAGCCAGGGGAAGTCCTGCGGACAACTGCCTGGCTGCTGCTGCTGCTGCTGCTGCTGCTGCTGCTGCTGCTGTTCATTGCCGGGGCCCTGGGGGGCCCCCGGCGAGGCTGCGCCGCCCAGGGCTTCTCTGAGTCTTGTCATGTTTTGAGTTTGGTTGCTGTTGCTGTTGCTGCGCTGCTGCGGAAACGCGCACGCCCGCTGCGGCTGGCGGCCCTGCTGCAGCTGCTGCTGCTGCTGCTGCTGCTGCTGTCGAATCAGCAGCAGCCTGCGCAGCTCTGCTGCGTCTCGTGGCCCTCGAAAGCCCCAGAGGCCCTAAAGAGCCCCGCCAGAAGAGCGGAGGGCCCCCAGAGTTGGCTGCAGAGGCGGCGGCGGAGGCAGCAAGGTGTTGGGTGGCATGCTCTTGCTGCGGTATATGGGGGGCCCCTCGCGCTTTCGAGGAAGCAGAAGTTGAACAAGAAAAGGTTTTTTATTTTCTTTTTCGAAAACTGAGTTTCTGCAGCGCCGCGGCCGGTGGGGGCTGACAAGTGAGCGCACGGGGCTGCAGCAGCGGCTGCAGCAGCAGCAGCAGACTTTGGTGCGCCTCAAAGAAGCCTTTCGAAGCAGCAATTTAAATCTTTCTTACTTTTTGCAAATAAAAGCCTCCGAGTTCTTCTTGGAGCTCCGAAACGCTGCAGATCCCGCCCCGGGCAGCTGCTGCTTCCCGGGGCTGGCGGGTCCGCCCAGCAGCTTTCCTGCGGCCTTCGCCCTTCCCAGGCCAAAAACTCTCCACTAATTCAAATTTATATTTCATTTAACTTCAATTGAGCCAAACAAAGTCCTCTTAGCCGATTCTGCGCGGCGCGGACCGCGCCGCGCGCTGCGCCTCGCGGCGCTGCTGCTGCTGCTGGTGCTGCTGCTGCTGCTGCTGCTGCAGCTTCGCAGCGAAACACGCAGCACGCAGTTCACTCAAGGCCTAGCGAGTCACTAGGCGCCTGCAGGCGGCAGCAGCAGCAGCAGCAGCAGCAGACGGGCCAGCAGCAGCCCCCGTTTGTCCAGCGGCAGGCGCCTGCTGCAGCGCAGCGAGCAGCAGCGCGTCTTGCAGCTCTCGCCAGGGCCAAACGCCCCGGGCAGCAGCAGCTGCTGCTGCAGCTGTGCAGCAGCAGCTGCTGCAGCACTTAGGCAGTTCTGTGGGGCCGGGTAGAAGCAGCAAAAGGCTGCAGTGCTGAGCAGCAGCAGCCAAGTGGCCCAGCTGCAGTCCTGCGGGAATTAGTTTAGTGGTCCAGTGGACCAACAGCTGCAACTTAAGAGGAGACAGCCTCTGGTGTTATTTAGTTTTCATTTATTAATAGAGAGCAGCTGCACTTTCTGTTCACGTGGCCAACTAAACGAAACAAAACAAATAAATAACTTATTGCTCAACACTCCCTGCTGCTGCTGCTGCTGCTGCTGCTGCTGCTGCTGCAGCAGGGGTGACCAGTGGTCCACTCGGTGGTCCACCGCTACCCCGCTGGCCCAGCGAAGGCCCGCGAGCGCAGGCGAGTCCGCCGCGCCCAGGCGAAGAGGCTGGCCTCTGTGATGCGGCCTCTGCCGTCTTCGGAGATGCGCTGCAGCAGCAGCAGCAGCTCGGCGTTGCCCAGCGGAGGTCTCATTCTGAAGAGATATTTTGAATTTAATTTCAAATTTAATTTCAAATTTAATTTCAAATTTAATTTCGAATTTAAACTTCAACTCTTTTCAACTCGAAGGCCACTGGGCCTCTCGGCTCACCCGCTGAGCGCCGCCTCCAGCTCCTGCGGCGACTGCGCGGAAGCAGAAGTTGTTGAAGAAACATTTAATTGAAAAACTTTGAATTATTTTAAATATTTATTTTTAAATATTTATTTCGCACAATTTGTCTGTCTCCGTCGGCGTCCAGGAACTCGAACAGCCGCCCCAGAGTCGCCCGCTGGTGCTGCGGATAGTCCTTTTTGTCGACCCCCAAAGAGCCCAAAAGAACAACAAATGCTTTGAAGTCTTCGAACTGCAAGTAGCCACTGCGCGCTGCGGTGTACGTACACCCGGAGGTTCCCAGCGCAGGATCTCGCGAACCTCTTTGTGACGTCCACAATGCGAAACCAGTCTTCCGCGAAGGTCTTTGCGTCTTCTTTGCTTTCCTGGAGGCCGCAAGAAGTGGAATATTTCCAAATTTAGTTTTAAATTCCTTTTTCTCACTGTTTCCGTTCTCGTGCACCTTATGATGTCCTCCATGGCCTGTCTCGACACCACGCCGGGGGCCTCTGAACGCAGCAGCGGCTGTTCGCGGGAAAGCTGCCACTAAAAGGACTTTTCAAATTCACCTGCATGCGGAAATCTCTCAGAGTGCTCCGCCAAACTTGAAAAAAGACTTCTGATGTAGGCCTGGGCCTCGCGGGGGAGCCGCCGGAAAGCTGCAAGGAGGCTTTGCCGCTGCACTGCTGCAGCATTTTCGATCTTGCCGCCCTGCGGGCCGCAGCAGCGAATTTGAAGTCCAATTTGCAAATTAAAAGTTTATTTGTTTCACTTGGTGCATTAAAAAGTCCAGAATCTGCGCGTCGCGCTGCAGAATGGCCTGGAGAAGCAAAAGGGAATTCCGAAAATTCAAAAATCCAAAAATTTCGCAAAGTCCCCACTTCGTCTTGCTCCGCCTCCACTGCTCTTATGGTTTTCGCACTGGCAAGAAAGTCCAGGTGAAATGCAGTCGTGAAGGTCCTCAGCAGCTGCAGCAGCAAACAACATATGAGTGACTTCAAGTCCGCGACTGCCAGCAGCAGCAGCAGCAGCAGCAGGACCAGCAGCAGCAGCAGCAGGACCAGCAGCAGCGGAAGCATCAGCAGCAGCAGCAGCAGCAGCAGCAGCAGCAGCAGCAGCAGGTGACCCTTGTCCAGGTGAAGAAGGAGGCGGCGAGGGGCAGGAAGGTGAGTGGGTAGGCCCAGTGACCATTGGTCCACCAGATGTAGCGGGAGCCGTTCTCTTGGGCGCAGCAGCACAACAGCAGCACGGCAGTGTAGGCTGCGTGGAAGAACAGCAGCAGCTGCAGCAGCCGCCGGCAGTAGCGGGGGTCTAAGCCTGGAAGTGCAGCAGCAAAGAGGCTGCTGGGGGCTCAAAGGACTCACTGCCGAAGGGGAAGAGAGCAGCAGTTCGATTCACTGTCTGCGGGAGTCTCAGTTGCTGCTGCTGCTGCAGCGCAGCAGCAGCAAACCCAACTTACCCGCTCCCGCGGCCACTTCTTCACCGTGGCCAGCGGCCTGCAGCAAGTCCAGCAGCTGCAGCAGCAGCACGAAGGGTGTCAGTGAAGAGCTGCTTACATGTCGTCAATGGGGCAGTGAAGGGCCCCCTGGGGCCCCCGAAGAGCGCCAGGAGGGCCCCCGAGTCGGGCCGGAGTTTGGAGTCGACGAAGGTGAGGAAGGCGAAGGCCAAGGAAGTGAGCAGCAGCAGCAAGAAAGCAGCAGCAGCCATGAAGGCAATGACTTCTCTGCCGGAGAGGGCGAGGGCGGGCCGCAGCAGCAGCAGCAGCAGCAGCGCGAGGACGAGGACGCTGGGGGGCAGCTCCACCATTGCTGCCAAGCTTTCTCCAAAACAATAATTCAAATAAGCAGCAAAAGAAAAGACTGGAGAGCCCGGCTGCTGCAGCCTGGGCCTGGGGAGGAGGGGGTTTGCGGCGAAGAGGAAGCGCTGGCGCAGCGCCCAGTGCTGCAGCGCCTGCTGCAGCTGCGCGGCAGCAGCAGGCTGCAGCGCTGCTGCTGCTGCTGCTGCTGCTGCTGCCTGCAGCTCCGCCTCCGGCTTCGCGTCCAGCTGCTGCAGCTGCTGCATCGTGCGCTGCCCCAGCGCCGTGAGCGCAGCCACCTGCAGCAAAAAGGCCAGCATTACCATGAAGATCAAAACGTGAATAGTTTCGAAAGTTTCCGTCAAGTGCGTGGGCGGCCGCGGCTCTTCGCCGCGGGCCTCCGCCTCAGCCACTGCGGCCTCTTCCGTCTTGGACACTCCCAAGTACTTGTCGTTCAGCTTTCGCGCGGCCCCCAGCCGCACGGCGGCGTACAGGAACAGGCTGATGAAGCCGAGGATGGTGAGTTCCTTGAAGGCGCAGTTCAGCATTTCTTGCAGCTTCAAGAGCCGTCTTCGTCTTAAAAACTCTTCAAAAGTCCCCACAAATGCTTCAAACGCCACTGACAACAAGATTATCGCCACAAACAGCCCCACGGCCACCCAGTTCTCCACGTATTCCTCCCGCGTCTCGGCCTTCGCGCCCGCCTCTGCCTGCTCCAAACTGCATGCAACTTCGGAATCCGCAGCAAAACAGCTTTTATACTCACTTGGACTTGCAGAAAGCTGCACGGCTGGTCGAAGCGGCAGTCTTGCGGCGCTTTCCCCTGCGCCTGCACGCCCAGACAGACGGCCAGCTGCACGCAGAACGCAGCGGCCACTCTGTCCCACCGCCACGCCATGGCAGCGCGGGCGCATTTGAATCCGATCCGCTTCAATTTATTAATTAATCTAAAGATCAGCTCGTCTCAGCCGCAGATCGCGGATTCGCTCCTGCAAACGCGGCGGATGTGGCGGCGCTGAGTCGCAGTGCCGCCGCGCACGAGTGCGCTGTACAGACTCGCCGGCGCGTCAACAAAATCAGAATCCCGCTTCAAACTCTAACAAATTCTGGTAATTAAAGCTTTTTAGAAAACAACAAATAGGTGTATTGACGCTGATCACCGGAAAGCTGCGCCAGATCCAGCAGGAACTCCGCAGCTTGTCGTCGCGGGAGCGATGCAGAGCAGCAACAGAAGAAACGGGAAGAACACAAAGACAGATCCAACGGATCTTTTGAACGAAAACGCCTGAAGCAGCTTTAGGGTCAAATAACATTGCTGTTGTTCCCGCAGTGCAGGAAGTCCGGCTGCAGCAGGTTCATAGACTGGCTCGCAGAGCTCCAATTGACGCGCTGCAGCAGCAGCGGCGCTGCTGCTGCTGCTGTTTCATCTTTCTAGCTGCAGCAGGCTGCATGCAAAAGCGCTTTAGCCTCGTGCCTGAGGAGTAACTAGTGATCGGCCCGCTGCAGGGCTGGGCTTGTGGGGTGCTGCTAATCGCAGCAGCAGCTGCTGCTGCGCCTTTCACAAGGGCGCAGCAGCAGCTGCTGCGATCTGCTGCAGTCCTTAACAAAGGCAATTCTAATGAACTAGAGGGGCTCTTCAGAAAGAGGCGCGGGGCCTCCAGGGCTTTCGCGTTTGCTGTAAGTGGTGTTTGTTTCAGGTCACTTGGCGTTGCTGCGAGCACTAAATTGGGCCTTTAAGAGTTCATCTTAGTGCAAAAATTAAAATAAATTAATTTATTTCAGTTTTATTTCAATTTAATCCGCAAATGAGGCCAAGGCCTTCGCAGGACAGCAGCCCCAACCATGAGGCCCTGGCTAGGGCTGGCTGGCCCACTCGCTCGGGGGGCCCCTGCGAGGGGCCGGCCACCCAGCAGCAGCAGCAGCAGCAGCAGCAGCGGCAGCAGCAGCAGCAGCAGCAGCAGCAGCAGTAGTAGTAGTTTAAAATTGGAGTTTGCTGCTGCTGCTTTCCTGCATACTGAGCAGGACCGGGAGCTGGGCGAGAGATCCGCGAGGGCTCCTTGAAAGGATTCAAGCTGCGGTGTACAGCATCTGCTGGCCCCGCGGCTGCATTCCGCGGCTTAGTTTGTTTTTTTGGAAAGCATTTTGAGTTTAAGTTCCTTTTAAAAAGACAAAGCGGCTCGAAACTGCGCGGAAGGCGCTGGATCGCGCAGCAGCCTGCTGCAGCGCCGCAGCCCCTCCGCAGTCACTTCGCGTGCTGCTGCTGTGCTGCGCCTTGCGGGCTGAAACTGCAGCAAAGAATTCATTTTTGCCCTTCAAAAGGTGTTTAGGAGCTGCTGAGTGGCTTTCTGAACGCCTTAGACGAGTCTTGCGCCGCGGCTTCCAGCCTGCTGCCGCACTTCTTGCAAACCCGGGTGATCCTGCTGATCCTGCGGACTTGCAGGTCTAGTGCCTTCGCAAAGAGCTTTATTTGACTTATTTTAAAGAGCTTTTGCGTTTTTAGACCTCGGAAACCCCAGGGCTCGCCGTGGGAGCGCCGCCGGGCTGTTCCGTTCACAAGTGGGACTGCAGCGCCGAAGACCATGACTTGTGCTTTCTTTCTTTGATTCGCCCAAGTGAAAAGACTGGAGGGACAATGCCCGCTGAAGAAGCGCAGGAAAGCCACGCCGAGGGCTCAGCGAAACAGCCCAACGGGAAAGCTGCAGCAGCAGCACCAGCAGCAGCAGCAGCAGCAGCAGCAGCAGCAGCAGCAGCAGCAGCAGCAAATTCGAACGCAACTCGAGAGACGAAGGAAAAGACAGACGCAGCTCTTCAAAAGCCGCCACAGACCGACAGCAGCCCCAAGCCTTTGCCGGAGCCGAACTTTCAGCACCGCAAAACGCGAGACAGAATAAGAAGGGCCAAGAAGCAGCACCGGTGAGTTTTCCAGTTATGGAAAGCAGCAAAGTCAGGCAATTAAAGCTGCGGCAGCAGCAGAAAGCTCGAAGCAGCAGCAGAAAGCTCGACAAACCGGCAGCGGAGTGCAGAAAGCTGCAGCTGCAGCAGCAGCAGCAGCAGCAGAAAGCTGCAGCAGCAGCAGCAGCAGCAGCAGCAGAAAGCTGCAGCTCCAGAGTCGCTGCTTGGCTGCAGAGGAGATATCCACTGGAGCGAATGGAGCAAATTCAGATATGCAGAAACGGACTTCTGCGAAAGGTCGATGCACATTCGTGAAAACCTCCCCAGGATCTACAAGGCGAACACCACTCTTGTGGGTGCGTCTGGCCTCTCTCTGCCTCCATTTTTTAGCCAAATATCATTATTTGGTCAATTTTGAAACATTTGGGTCCATTTTGATGCAGTATTCCTTTTCTTTTCCCTCAGATTCTCTCTGACGAATGGCGGGGTCGGTGGCTGTTGTGGCGCCCGCATTGCCAGCGCTGCTGCGGCTGTTTTCCCGTTTTTATTGCTTATTTGTTTTCATTTTTAGTTTTCTTTTGCGTTTCAGACTTTATTCGCAACTACGAAGTCCCCGGGAGGCCTGTGCTGCTGTGCGGGTGGATGGAGGACTGGCCGGCGATGCGCCGCTGGGATATCGAAAGCCTGCGGCGCGCCTACAGGACGGCGAAGTTCAAAGTTGGAGAAAAAGACAATGGAGATAAAATAAAACTCAAAATTGTGCGCGAAGAGAACTTTGGCGGAGTTTTCCAAGAGGCTGGGGAGTTCGTGTTGCTGCTGCGTTTGTCGTGGGACTGTGGACTGATCCTTTTGAATTCTCCCGATCCTTCTTTTTTTAATTAATTAGTTCATTTATTTTGAATTCTCCAGATCCTTCTTTTTTAATTTATTTATTTATTTATTTTGTAGCTTTGTGTTGTCTGTGGCTGCTCAGAAGTACTTCATTGACTATTTGAAACAGCAAAACGACGACTCGCCGCTTTACCTCTTCGAGTCTGCAGTGGAGGACAAGGCGAACACATGGTGAGTGCAGCCGCAAGTGCCGCATGCAACTAAAAAAGAAAATAAAAATAAAAATAAAAAATAAATTAAAATCTTTTCAGTTTTTTATTTTATTTTCTGCTTTATTTGACTTCTTTTGTGCGCAGCGGCTTGTTGAATGACTGGCGAGTGCCTGAACTCTTCCCCGTGGACCTGCACGCCATCGTGGGAGAAGAGCGGCGGCCCCCGTGAGCTTCTGTGGCCTTCATAGGAGTTAAAAATGGAAATGTTTGCAAAATTAGTTCAAAATTAGTTCAAATAAATCCAAAAAAGGACCATTTAAGGCCCTTTTTCTCCTTTTCTGTCTTCTTCTTGCTGCAGCTACCGCTGGTTCTGCATTGGCCCCAAAAGAAGCGGCACTACTGTCCACACAGACCCCCTAGGCACAGCGGCCTGGAACGCAGTGACTTCGGGCTACAAGCGGTGGGCCATTTGGGGATAAGTTGCTGCTGCTGCCTGCTGCAGTAGGGCACTTGGGGGCCCCCAGGGGCCCCCGGGGGCCCCCAGGGGCCCCCGGGGGCGCTCAGGGGCCCCCAGGGGCCCCCGGGGGCCCCCAGGGGCCTCCAGGGGCGCTCAGGGGCCCCCAGGGGCCCCCGGGGGCCCCCAGGGGCCCCCAAGGGCCCCCGGGGTTAGTTTTGCGCAGAGTTGCGGGGCTTTCCGAGCTCCAGTGGCTGCCAGTGGCGGCTGAGACCTCAGCGAGCGTTTGGGGGAGTTTGGGTTTGCGGGGAAGTCCGGGAGTGGCGAAGTGGCTGTGGGGCGGTGGCTGCAGGTGGGCTTTATTTCCCCCGGAGACTTCGAAGGAAATAGTGAAGGGAAAACACCTCTTGAAGGCCGGAGAAGACGACGAGCCAATTATGTGGTTCGACAAGCTTTTGCCGCGCATCAAGGAGAAGTATCCTGAGACGGAAGTCTACGAGGTGAGCGCAGCAGCGGGGAAAGCCGCCGATCTGCGCATTTCTTGGCCTTTTTTTGTCTTTTAATTAATTTAATAAACTCTTAAAACCAAAGTAAACCCTTTGGGGGCCCCCAGGGGCCCCCAGGGGCCCCCAAAGGGTTTACTTTGCTGCAGCAACTCGCTGCAAGTTGCACTTTGCAAGTGGAAAGCCGTGCGCTTAAATGGTTCTTTTTGGGATTTAATTTGTTTAATTTATTCTTTTTGGCGCTGCAGCGCATGCAGCTTCCCGTGGAAACCATTCCCTGCCCCAACTGGTGCATGCATTCCTGAACAGATGACGCGCATGCCTGCATGCATGCACGCACGCATGCATGCATGCATGCGCAGCCCCGAACACCGAATTGTTTGCAAAATTGCTTATAAAAGTGGAAATAAGGGAATAAATATTATTATTTTAAACCTTTGGGGCCGCTGGGTGCTGCGTGCGGCGCGCAGTGCGTGCAGCGGCCGGGGGAAATCATCTTCGTGCCGCCCAACTGGTGGCACGCAGTGCTGAATTTGGCCGACTGCGTCGCCTGCACTCAAAACTTTTCTTCTTTTGGCTTTCTGGGCGCCGCCTGGCGCAAACTGCGGCGGGGGCGCCGCCGGCTGGCCGCCCAGTGGCTCGCGCGCCTCCAGCAGTTCTTTCCCGAGAAAGAAATCGCTGGACAGCTCCTACAGCTCAACCAGTGAGGGAGACGCTGCTGCAGCAACTGCTGCAGCAACTGCTGCAGCAAGGGCTGCAGCAACTGCTGCAGCAAGGGCTGCAGCAACTGCTGCAGCAAGGGCTGCAGCAAGTGCTGCAGCAACTGCTGCAGCAACTGCTGCAGCAAGGGTTGCAGCACAGAAAGCGCTGCAGCAAGTGCTGTGGCAAGTGCTGCAGTAAGTGCTGCAGCAAGTGCTGCAGCAAGTGCTGCAGCAACTGCTGCAGCAACTGCTGCAGTCAAATGCTGCAGCAAGTGCTGCAGCAAGTGCAAGTGCTGCAGCAAGTGCTGCAGCAAGTGCTGCAGCTGAATGCGTGTTGCAGTTGAAGTTGGTTTGGGTTTGTTGGCCTCAGGCTGGACGGCTGGGAGGTGCGGTCGGGGAAGTTTTGCCGCGTGCGTGCGGCGAGCGGCTTCGCGACGGACGCGAGCAGCAGCAGCAGCAGCAGCAGCAGCAGCAGCAGCAGCAGCAGCAGCGCGTCTTCAGACGACGAAGACGAGCTGGCCGAGGTGCAGCAAACTGTGCAGCGCATGCGCAGCAGCATCCCCCCCGAGGCCTGGAAAGCTTACTTCCCGCAGGGGCCCCACAGCCTGCCGCAGCAGAAGACCCCGCTGGCCCGGCTGACGGGGTCTTGGGAAAAAAACGGAGTTGAAGCAGCAGCAAAAACCCAAGTTCAAGCGGCCCCTGCTGCTGCTGCTGCTGCTGCTGCTGCTGCTGCTGCTGCTGCTGACGGCAAGCGACAGAAAACGCTGTCTTTGCTTTAGTGGGAAGAAAGCAGCAAAAAGCCAAGTTCAAGCGGCCCCCCCTGCTGCTGCTGCTGCTGCTGCTGCTGCTGCTGCTGCTGCTGACGGCAAGCGACAGAAAACGCTGTCTTTGCTTTAGTGGAGGCGAAAGCAGCAAAAACCCAAGTTCAAGCGGGCCCCTTTGCTGCTGCTGCTGCTGCTGCTGCTGCTGCTGCTGCTGCTGCTGGCGGCAAGCGACAGAAAACGCTGTCTTTGCTTTAGTGGAGGCGACACTCTGGACACTGCGGGGAAACATTTCAAATTTAAATGAAAGCGAAACTGGGGTGTACGTACACCGCAGCTGCGCGCAGCTGCGGTGTACGTACACCGCAGCGCGGGCAGCTCGCTGCGGTGTACGTACACCGCAGCGCGGGCAGCTCGCTGCTGCTGCTGCTTCGGCGATTTAAGTTGGGAGAAATGCATTAATTGTTTTCAACTTTTGCAATGGAAAAAGTCCAAACAAAGAAGCGAAACAAATGCACTTCCCCTTCTTGCAACACAACAGTCAGGGAAGACCCCCTGCTGCTGCTGCTGCTGCTGCTGCTGCTGCTGCTGCTGCTGCAGGCAGCGACTGCAGCAGCTTTCTGCGCACAGCGTCCGTGCGCGCCGCGGCGTCTTGTCTTCGCTTTTGCTGCGCCAAGTGCTGCAGACTCTTGAGGGGAAAATAATTATTTTGTTCTCTAAAAACTACGGGAAAAGGCAGTTTTGCTGCTGCTGCTTTGAAGGCCCGGAAGTTCGGCGCCTGCGGCAGCAAACTTTCGAATGGACTTGGCTGCGGAATGTGAAACAACACGCGCCCTGAGCAGCACACCACGCAGCCACCAAACCACCAGCTGCAGCAGCAGCTGCAGCAGGAACTGCAGCACGAGCTGCAGCAGCAGCTGCAGCAGCAGCTGCAGGAGGAGATGCAGCAGGAGCTGCAGCAGGAACTGCAGCAGGAACTGCAGCAAGAACTGCAGCAGGAACTGCAGCAGGAACTGCAGCAAGAACTGCAGCAGGAACTGCAGCAGGAACTGCAGCAGGAGCTGCAGCAGGAGCTGCAGCAGGAGCTGCAGCAGGAGCTGCAGCAGGGACTGCAGCAGGAGCTGCAGCAGCAGCAGCAGCAAAGAAGCAAAGGAAATACCTGCAGGGACTCTGGCCACGAAGTGGTCTATGGCCCCCTTGCCCTGCCCCATCTTCACTCCTTCTGCTTTTCGCGTCACTGGGTAAGTTGCATGCACTGTCTGCAGCAGTTCTTTCGAGCGGCCCAAGTAGCTGCATGCATGCGCAGCAGCAGCCCGCAAGCCTGCTGCTGCAGCGCAGCAGCAAGCCTGCTGCTGCAGCGCAGCAGCAAGCCTGCTGCTGCAGCGCAGCAGCAGCGCGCTGCAGCGCAGCAGCAGCGCGCTGCAGCGCAGCAGCAGCCACGCGCTGCTGCGGCGCAGCAGCAGCGACGGACTGCTGCGCCGCAGCAGCTTGCTGCTGCGATGCACGCGAGTGCTGCACAGCCAGCTAGCTGCTGCGCTGCAGCTAGCTGCTGCGCTGCAGCTAGCTGCTGCGCTGCAGCTAGCTGCTGCGCTGCAGCTAGCCGGCGCAGCAGCTAGCTGGCCTTGTGGCCTTATGGGCCTTTTAGAACTTCCGGAAAGAAGCAAAGTTGGGAGGACATGAGTTGAAGCAGCAGCAGCTTTCACGTAAGAAGCAACCAGACTCAATTTCCCACCATTATTGAAAACTAATTAGCAAAAAAATGCAAATAAATTCAAATAAATGCATTTATTGTGTCAGAGAGCCCCAGCATTCCTGGAAAGTGCTGCTGCGGCCCCGCCGCAGCACGCAGGGTCACCCAGCAGCAGCAGCAGCAGCAGCAGCAGCAGCAGCAGCAGCAGCGGCTCTCACCGCCGCAGCGTCCTCCTGGCCTGCTCGAGCTGCTGCTCCGTGACTCTGTGGGGCGCTGCAGCCACGAGGGTCTTCCCCAGCTTCACTTCGGGCTCGAGCAGCGGCACAATGCGCCCCTTGGGGCACTTTATGCGCACTTGCTGCGGCGGCTTGAAGCGCAGCGGCGGCATTTGGCATTCGAAATGCGGCTAAGTCGGAGCGGCCATGGAGGCTGGGAAAAAAGGGCAAAAGCCGCGCCTGTGCGGCCGCTGGGGCTGGGAAGATCGCGCGGGAAAGCGGGCAAAGGCCGGGCGAACTGCAGCGCGCGCGTGCACTCCGAGTCAGTAAAAACGCCATTTCTCGCAATTATTTGTCCCTAATTAATGCTTTTCGGATTAATAGAGCTCGCAGTGAAGGGGCTGCCGAAGACTGCCGACAGCCCGAGCGCAGACTTGCATGCGCAGCTGAAACTGCAGCTGAGAACGCCAACGGAAAGTCAGGCTAGTTAGGCTCGTGTGCAACTAAATAGACCAATTAACTGCAACAAATTAAGAATAAAAGCCAGAAAAAGAACAAATTGATAACTGTGGCTGGTCTTTAGCGCCTCATTAAGACAGAGGGCTGTTCGCCAATGTGCGCGGCAGTGTTCTTCTCCAGCCGCTCACTCGCAGGCACATGAGAATCCCTGAGCGAATGGCAGAAATGGCAAAACGCCAATTATACAAATGAATAATTTACATTAAATTAATTAAAGAAAAAAAAAAGAAAAATGAAAGCAAAAAGAGCACACCAGATGGGACTCGAACCCACAACCTTAGCCTTAGGAGGGCTACGCGCTATCCATTGCGCCACTGGTGCTCAAGTTGACCACTCGAAATGCGATCTGCATCATGTTGCAAATAAAGTTGCATTAAAATGGAATTATTTTTCCAGAAAGTTCTCACCAGCCTTTTGAAAAGAGAAAATAACTTCAAATGCGCACAAGGAGTCAAAAGGAGCACACCAGATGGGACTCGAACCCACAACCTTAGCCTTAGGAGGGCTACGCGCTATCCATTGCGCCACTGGTGCTCGAAATCCCGGGCCTTTATTAATCGGTTTTATATGATAAAGGCTCCTAAAAGTACTTTTATTAATCATTTTTTCATGATTAAGCCTTCTAGAAGCATCAATTTGAGCCATTTTTGAACAATTGTTGCCTCCAAGTGGAATAAACTGGAACGCCGTACACTGAAACGGCCATTTGCTTGAATGGGCTTTTATTCTGCAAAAGCTGCAGAGGCAGCCAGACCTGTACTATCAGCAGAATTAATCCTTTAAAAAGATGCAGCTACTGTGAGTCTTAATATTCAATTGCCTTTAATCCGCAGCAGAAGAGTCGGCGCGAGAGCCCGCAGTTGCTGTGCTGCTGCTTATAAAGTTGCTGCCAAACTGCTGCAGAGTTTCACTCCTGAGAACGCCTACTCGGGACAAAAATGAAGTTTAAGTCTAAAGACTTAGTCTGGTGCTTCTGCCAAAAGTGAGACACCGCAGTAACCCCTAAAGGCTCCACCACGGCAGGGCCAAGAAGCCAAAGTTCGGAGCGGACTTGTGCAAATAAGTGGCATATATAATGAAGCCGCTTTAGCAGCACTTTCTGTTCTGTGCAGCGCTGCAGCAAGCGGGGCGGGCCAGAGGGCTGCAGGGCTTCGTTCTAGAACTCAGGGTGAGGCACTGTCTCGGGCAAAGTGTGCGCCACTTCCTTCACCTTTGCGAGAAGTTCGCTGAGAAGCTGGCGGTGGCTGGGCTGCACAACAGTGGCCATTATGTCTTCTAGAGAAGGCCAAACGAGAGAGCTGAGGAGCCCGTCGAGCGTCCACAGCAGCACTGAGGCAGCCCCGCCAAGAGAGTCCCAAAGGACCCACAGGCCCTTATCCACGGCGCACAGCGCGCGAACCACCGACACTGCCGCGTCTTCCGGCAAGTGGGGCCTGCAGAACTCAAATATAAACAAAACCTGGCCACAGAGCACTTGAAACGGCAGCAGCAGCAGCAGCAGCAGCAGCAGCAGCAGCAGCAGCAGCAGCAGCAGGAAACTTGAATTGGGGATGCCGAAGCGTCGACTCACGCCAGCATAAACGCGCAAGTCCGTACGCAGCCGTATACCCCAGCAGCCAACAAAATGTAGCCGAGAGTGGAGAAGACGGGGCATATCAGTTTACTCCAAACAGCCCTCAGCAGAAAAGCCCTGCAAGCACCACACTGGGTTTGGCGCAGCTTTCCATGCCCGCTTTTCTAATTAGAAAGTTAATGCCACAGATATCCTCTTCAACAAATAGCTGGTAGGCTCTTTTGCGAAGATTAGTGTGAATGCTGTGGCTCTGCTCTCCCTGTAGCTTTTTTCTTTCAGAGTCACTCCTCTTTGCCCGCATCCATAGTGTGATCTGTTGCACTGAAGTGATTTCAAGGAGCTCCACAGCACTACACAGCCTAAATTAATTTATTTAACATTATGCCTGACTGCTTTATATCCCTAGGCGGCCTTCAGTGCGTGTTTGAGGCAACTTTGAAGCCATGCAGCTTGAAGGGCTGCAGCTGTGAAAGCTTGAACAGCCTTGAGCAGCAGCAGACAACGTACGCGAAAGCTATCCATTCCGCCAGCGTCAGAACGGAAACAATCCAAGACAAATATAATAAGCAGCTCTGGCCGCAAGAGTCGTGAGGAAACACCAGCTTTTCGGTGGCGAAAACGTGCCGCACAAGATTCTGAAACCAGGAAAGCTGAAACACAGAAGCTGCGAAGCCCCGGAAACACCACAAGCACGGGAAGCAGCAACGAGGATTTAAAAACGCATGCAATCAGTTTTAGAGAAACACTCGGGTGGAAATAAGCTGATCTATCTACTAATGGCCCCCTGGGGAGGACACCACACGCGAGCTGAAACTGATGTAGTACAACAAGGAAAGCTGAGGGCGAAATAGGCCTTTCAAGCTCACGAATTCGAATGGGAAGAAACTTTTGTGCGCCGGAAGCTGCGTTTTTCTCCCTCTGAAAACTCATATTTACGTTAATTGTGAATATTGCATGTGCGCACAGCCACGCAGAAACCATCACCGCTGCCGCTAAGGCCCTAGCGAGCTTCATTTCCGTTCCCTTCAAGTGCAGATATATTTGTTTTTTAATATTTATTAACGCTAGGCTAAGCAGTGTGCGAAGGTTTGGCCCTGGAAACGGGGGACCCGCGCAGAACCCACGCGCTCCCTGGCTTGTGTTCACCCCCCAGAAAGACAACGGGATTAAGGCAACTCTCTGCAGCCGAGAGTTTCGAGATTGTGAAGCCTCGCTAAGGACAAAGGAGAACTGAAAGGAGAAAGCTATGAGCCTAAATGAAGGGCTGGCGGCGAAGAGTCATGCGAATGGTCAGCGATTCAACTAATTCAACTTGCAAGGGAGCGCCGTTGCAACGGAGAGCAGCAGTTTCTCCCCATCCGCCCTTTAAATGAGTAAGATTTCAAGTTGAAAAACAGTGGCAAGATAATCTCACTATTTGCTGCACCTGTTGTTCTTAACTCCGCAGTTGGGCCCGAGCGAGACGCGCCCGTTGGTGGCGGCTGCGGTCCGCGTAGGTGCTGTGGCCCTGCCCCCAGCTTCCCTCCCTCGCCTCGAAATGTTTGCTTTTTAAGTCTAATTTCCTTCTTTTAAGTTCAAAGGCGCCGCTGCTAGAGGGCCTTTAGCGCCTTCGTCGCCGACTCGCGGGCTCTCACTTCCTGAACGGCAGCCCCACGCAATTCCAGTGCAAAGGTGCACATTATTCTCCGCAGCACTTCACCAGAAAGCCGGACGGGGTCCAAAAAGGCCATCTAACTTTGATATTTTCGCTGTTCTCCCCTGAAGACTGGAGAACCCGGCTGCTAGGGTGAAGGCCAGCAGCCAGGGTGACTCTCTTGAGGAGCAGCAGCAGCGGGCCCTCCCCCCAGGGTTTGTCTTCGGCGATTCGGCTGTTCTGGAAGTGCTTCAGGCACTGAGACTCCGATGTATGGGGACTTGGGCAGCAGCTGCAGCAGCTGCAGCAGCTAAGGGGTGCTTCCCCAGCCCTCGCGTCCCCCGCGGCTGGCCCAGAAGAGCTGAATCCGCGGGCGGAAAGGACTTTTGGGCCAAATTTTGAGATGTAAAAGACAATGGACTTTGCTGAAGGGCCAGAGCTCTCTGCTGTGGTGGCTGAGGAGGTCCCGCCTCTCGCGTTTCCTTCCATCGGCTGCCTCCAGCTCCGCCGCATTATTGACATTCCCTTTGCCTTCCCCTCCGCTGCTGGCCCTGCCAAGGAGTGGCAGCAGCAGCAGCAGCCCTACAGCGCTGCGAGGAGCGACGGCGACGAGCCAGCAGCAGCAGCAGCAGCAGCAGCAGCAGCAGCAGCAGCAGCAGGCGACGCGTTCAGCGCCTCGAAGGCCCCGCAGCCGCCGCCGCCGCCCCAAGAGCAAGGTGTTTCCTTGTTGTCTGGGCTGCTGCGGCGGCTGAGGAGGCAGCCGCAGCGAGAGCAGCAGCAGCAGCAGCAGCAGCAGCAGCAGCAGCAGCAGGGCAGTCTGGTTCAGCTGGAGCGGCTGGGCTTCGAGCTGCCCATCTGCGGAGTGCCCGCAGCAGCACAAGTCTGCGGGCGCTGGGGCCTCGCTGGGCGGCTGCAGACAGAGAGGGGCAGCAGCAGCATTTCTGTGGTTTCTTGGGAGGGCCGGCAGATATTCTTTTGGCTGCTGTGGCCCGGCTCTGCTGCTGCTGCTGCTGCTGCAGCAGGGGACGCGGCTCCTGCAGCAGCAGCAGCAGCAGCAGCAGCAGACGCAGCAGCTGCGCTGTTCGTGCTTACCGCAGATGAGGAAGTGCTGTCCTGCAGTTTGGTGGAGCGCTTTTCAGTTTTGGCTGCCACCTACAAGACAACTCCGCCGCGGACTGAGCTGCTGCTGCTGCCCCCGCTGAAGGCCCCCGCTGCTGCTGGCAGCCGCAGCAGCAGCAGCAGCAGCAGCAGCAGCAGGAGGGCGCAGCTCACGCCGCAGCCGCTGCTGCCGCTGCGGCGGCTGCTGCTGCCCAGAGAAGATGTCGTGCTGCAGTGGGTTGGGGACTGCCCCTGGGGCGTTTTGTTTCTTTGCTTCTGTTTGCAAACTAAGTACTGTGCCCTTTTGCTGCTGCACTCCGAGGCCATCCTCGCGCAGCAGCAGCAGGCCCTCGAGCAGCAGCAGCAGCAGCAAGGCGGCTCCGGCGAGGACGACGCAGCAGCAGCAGCAGCAGCAGCAGCAGCGCTGCCGGCTGCTGCTGCGAAGCTGCCGGCCGGGGCCTTCTCTTCGGCGTGGCTGCCCGCAGTTCCCTTCCCGCCCGCTGCGGTGTCTGTACACCCCAGCCTGCCCGTTGCTGTTGTTGTGGGGTTTAGTGCAGCAGAAAAAACTGTTTGGACGAGTTGGGTGCCTTTGCAGGGAATGGCTGGCGAGCTGGAGGCTGAGGGCGACAGCGAGGACTCCGACGCCGACGAAGCAGCAGCAGCAGCAGCGGGGGCTTGCTGCAGCAGCAGCAGCAGCAGCAGCAGCAGCAGCAGCGGCGAGCAGCAGCTCGAGTGGTCTCGCGGCCCCCAGCCAGTCGTCGCGGTGCTGCCCTCGCTGGACCTTCTGCGCTCCCTCGCAGCAAGACAGGCCCTGCAGGCCATGGACGCGCATCTGCTGCAGCAGCAGCAGCAGCAGCACCAGCAGCAGCAGCAGCAGCAGCAGGATGCAAGCTTGGCGCCTTGGTCCAGCGCGGACTGCCCAGAGTCTTTCTACAGGCCTGTCTTTCTGAGGCCAAGTGAACTGAAAGAAGAAGCAGAAAGATGGGTTGCTGCTGCAGAGGGGCAGACGCGGATGCCCAGAGAGGCAGCAGCAGCAGCAGCAGCAGCAGCAGCAGCAGCAGCGGGAGCAGGCAACGCGAAAGCGACGGACCCGCAGCAGCAGCAGCGGCAACACGAGGCCGCAGCAGCAGCAAAAGAGAGACGAGAACTGCTGCTTGCGCAGCTGCAGTACAACCTTGGTATGTCGCAGAAAGACGAAAAGAAGCAGCAGCAGCAGCAGCAGCAGCAGCAGCTGCAGCTGCAGCACGTTGCAATCAGCTCTTGTGGTGGCATTCTCGCATTGTCTTTCTCCTCTGACGAGCTGCTGCTGCTTCGCGTGACCCACGATGCACAACCAGCAAGCAGCAGCAGCAGCAGCAGCAGCAGCAGCAGCAGCAGCAGCAGCGGGCCTGCTTACTATGAGCCACTGGCTTTCCTTCCTGCCCCTTTTCTGCGGCATCTTCGGTCTCGCGCTGCCAAGAGCCCTTGGCAGCAGCAGCAGCAGCAGCACTCTGCTTCTGCTGCTGTGTCTCAGCAGCAGCAAAACAGCGAGGCGGCAGCACAGACCCGCAACCGCAGACATCCTTTGGAACAGCAGCAGCAGCAGCAGCAGCAGCAGCAGCAGCAGCAGCAGGCGGACGAGGAGGAGCGAGCGTGGCTGGAGGAAGAGGTGGCGCTGCTGCAGCTGCAAAAGTCTTCTCCGGATTTGCCTCTTTCAGCAGCATTTTTTGCTGGAGAAGCAAATGAGCTGCTGGTGCTGCTGTTCGGCCGCCGCGAGCCTCTTGACGCGCAGCAAGACCAAGAGCAGCAGCAGCAGCAGCAGCAGCAGCAGCAGCAAAGTGGCGCCGCAGCAGCTGCAGCAGCAGCTGACAGGGCGAGCCCGAGGGCTGCTGGCCCAGGAGGGCTGCTGTGTGTGGCCTTTGACTTGGACAGGAACAGTTTGCTGCTGTCACCGCAGCAGCAGGGGGAACCGGAGGCCTCGAAGCTCACGCTGGCCAGCAGCAGCAGCAGCAGCAGCAGCAGCAGCAGCAGCAGCAGCAGCAGCAGCAGCTTGTGGTGGGCAGCGTTTGACGGGTCAAAGGGGCCGCCCACGTTTCCCCTCGCTGTGCTGCACCCTTTGGAAGCAGCAAAGCCGCTGGCAGCAGCTGCTGCCAGCTCTCAGCAGCAAGAGGAGCAGACGCTGCTGCTGGTCACCGTTGAGGCCGCGGACCCCCACAGCAGCAGCAGCAGCAGCAGCAGCAGCAGCAGCAGCAAGAAGCAGCAGCAGCGGGAAAGGTTCCGCCTGTGTCTGTCTTCTTTGCTATGCGCCGATGTGGCCTGCTTTGCTGCTGCTGCTGCTGGCTGCGGGCGCTGGGGAGAAGCTGAGGCGCTGCTGCAGCAGTCGCTGTCTTTAGCGCGCCGCGCCCACGAGGACGCAGCAGCAGCAGCAGCAGCAGCAGCAGCAGCAGCAGCAGCAGCAGGGGGGTCGGACGTGGTGCTGCTGCGGTCGCAAGAAGAAGTAGAAAGGCTCGAGGAAGCTCTCGAGCAGCTGCAGCAGCAGAGGTGGCAGCAGCGAGGCAGGGACCCTGCTGCTGCTGCTGAGGATTTCCAGGTGAACTTGCTGCTGCTGCTGCTGCTGCAGCACACGCTCTCCTCGCTGCTGCTGCTGCAGCACCCGCTCTTCGCGTTGCTGCTGCTGCTGCAGCGCCTGCTTTCTGTCACCCCCCAGTTCTTTTTTCTTTTCTTCTTTTTGTCTCTTTCTCTCTTTCTTTTTCGTTCTTTTTTCCTCTTTTTTCTCTTTTCTTCTTTTTTTCTTTTCCCCTCTTTCTCTGTTTTCCTTTCATTACCATTTCTTTCGATCTTTTTGTTTTTTCCCTTTCGATCTCTCCTTTTCATTTTCTGTCTTTTCATCTTTTTATTTTTCTGTCTTTTCGTCTTTTTATTCCTTCCGTCTTTATTTCCTTTTATCTTTCCACTTTTCTCTTTTGTCTTTTCGCTTTTTTCTTTCTTTCTCATTTCCTTTGGATGCTTTCGCTGTTTAATTCGTGTGCATGCTGAAGAACTTAACCTGTAGGGTTTAGGGTTTAGGGTTTAGGGTTTAGGGTTTAGGGTTTAGGGTTTGGTTTCCTATTTGTTTTTTGTTGTAGTTGTATCCTTCTGCTGCTGCTGCTTCGCATGCACTTCTCTTTCCTTTTTCATTCGCCCCAACAGCTTCTTTTGCTTCGCTGCTTCTTATCCGTTGTCCTCATGTTTGTTTCGTCCACGATTGTTTGCTGCTGCTGTTGCTCTTGCTGCTGCTGCTGCTGCTGCTGCTGCTGCTGCTGCTCTTGCTGCTGCTGCTTTCCGTCTGCTTCGTCGCCAGCAAGACGCAGCGCCATCCTGCTGAGGCGCAGCCTCGGCCATCCAGCGGCTGTGAGGTCCCACGGCTGTTTGCTGCTGCTGTTGTCGAGCTTTGCTGCTGCTGCTGCAGGCCGTCTTCCGCTGTGCTGCAGCAGCAGAAAGAGCCGCGGGGGGGAGCTCAGACTGGCTGCTGCAGCAGGCGCTGCAGTATGAGCCCTTTGCAGAGGCAGCAGCAAATTCAGAAGGACCAGCAGCAGATGCAGCAGCAGTTGCAGCAGGAGCCTGGACGCCTCATCCCCTTCCGTTGCGCCGCCTTCGCCTGCTGCTGCATCGAGCGCAGCAGCAGCAGCAGCAGCAGCAGCAGCAGCAGCAGGCGGAGGGCGACGCAGGCTCCGCGCAGGTGAGCTGAGCGTTGCATCCACAGCAGCCACGTCCTGCTGCTGCAGCTACAGCAGCAGCAGCAGCAGCAAAGTTTCAAGGCTAGGCTTCTCTACCTGCTGTCCTGCTGCTGCTGCTGCTGTTGTCGCTTTCTAGTGCAGCAGGCCTTTAGCAAGGCTTCTTAAACTTGAGTCTCTTAGTCAGGTTTTGTGAAAGAGTTGCTCTTACCAGCCTCTCTTGTGCGCTTGTGACGCATCTGCAGGCTGCTGCTGCTGCTGCTGCTGCTGCTGCTGCTGAGCGGCTGCGGCGCTGCGAGGTCTTGCTGGCCCTCTCGGAGGCAGCAGGAAAGCTTCCTGGCCTTCAGAGCCTTCCATGCGAAGCGCCTGTGGCAGCAGCAGCAGCAGCAGCAGGGTCGTTGTCTCGCGCCGAAGGGAACTGCCCACTGCCGCTGAAGCAGCAGCAGCAGCAGCAGCAACAGCGGCAACAAGAGCAGCAGGAAGCTCTCGAGGGCGATGCAGCAATCTCGAGGGAGGTCAACATGCTGCTGCTGCAGCAGCTGCAGCAGGCTTTAGGCGTGCTTTTGAGGAGTCCGTCTGCTGCTGCTGCTGCTGGGGAAGTTTCTTTCGTGCTGCAGTTGGCCCGCATTTTTGCTGCTCACGGCCAAACTCTTGCTGTGGAGCTGCTGCTGCAGCAGCACCCCCGGCTGCAGGCCTTCTGGCCCTCCGTCCTCAGCGCGCTGCCAGACTCTCTGCTGCCGCATCAAATGATTCATTTGCTGCCGCGCCTGCGGGACACTGCAGCGAGCAGCAGCAGCAGCAGCAGCAGCAGCAGCAGCAGCAGCAGCAGCAGCAGGTTCGAAGCGAGTGCTGCAGAAATAGCTGCGTGGGCCTGCGAGCGCTGCTTGGTGATAATGAGGGGGCTGGGTTTGCTGCAGTTTTGTGCCTTGCCTCTTGCCACAGCTGTTCTGCTGCAGCTGCTGCAGCAGCCGCTCCCTGCTGCCTTCGCCGCAGCTGCTGCTGCTGCAAGGCAGCAGCAGCAACAGGCAAAGGACGCCCTCGCCCGGTCGCGGCTAGACCAGCAGCAACTGCAGCAGCTCCAGCACCAACAGCAGCTGCTTCTGGAACAGCAGAAGCAGCAGCAACAGCTGGCTGCTGCTGCTGCTGCTGGGGCCAGCCTTTCTGCCGCAGTGGTGGCGGCTGGGCACAGAACGCGAATTTCTCACCCAGCAGCAGCAGCAGCAGCAGCAGCAGCAGCGCAGCCCACCAGCCCGTCGCCAGCAGCAGCAACAGCAGCTCCTCCCGCCCTCTCTGCAGCAGCAGTAGAGCCGGAAGCAAATGGACCAGAGGCTCCTTGGGGTCTGAATCACAACTTGCTGCGGGAACTGCAGCAGCAGCTGCAGCAGCAGCAGCAGCAGCAGCAAACTGTAAACGGGCTGCGAGTCAGGGAGGTCCGCCGCCTGCTTGCAGTGCACGGCCTGCTGCGTCAGTTCTTGCTGCTGGAGCTGCTGCAGCTGCGCTGCCGCGAGTTGCAGCAGCAGCAGGAGCTGCCTGCTGCTGTCAGCCCCTCCATGATCCTGCGGAGGCCAGCAGCAGCAAGACAAAGGCAGCAGCAGCAGCAGCAGATGGTCGCACTGCTTGAGAAGGCTACAGAGGACTTCTTTAGCTTCGTGCGGCTGCCTGACAGCTGGCGACTGCTGCTGCTGCTGCTGCACCTCGTCGCTGCGCAGCAGCAACTTCAGGAGCCCGACACAGCAGCAGCACTATCAGTAGCAGACACTGCCGCTGAGACTACCTACACGGACGGCAGCAGCAGCAGCAGCAGCAGCAGCAGCAGCAGAAGAACTACCGTGGCAGCCACAGCCGTCGCCGCTCTTGTGGAGCCATTTGCTGCTCTCGAGTGCTTTACTTTCTTTTCGAAGGACCTGCCACCTGCTGCTGCTGCTGCTGCTACCTGTGTTTCCGCTTCCGCAGAAGCAGCAGCAGCAGCAGCAGCAGCACATGAGAAGGAGGAGCTGGCGGCGCTGCTGGTTTCTCTGGATTGCTGCTTCAGAGAGGGTTTGCTGCGGGAGTTGTGTCTGTGTCTCATCGTGGCTGCAGCAGACCCAGTTGCTGCTGCAGCGGCTGTTCAGGTTTCACGCTGTTCTGCTGCTACTGCAGTGCAAGCAGCAGCAGCAGCAGCAGCAGCAGCAGCAAATGTCAAGGCGGAGTTGCTTCGGGGCCCGCAGCCCAGCACCGAAGCAAGCGCCTTGCGGCTGCTGCCGTGGGCGCTGCTGCTGCTTGCTGCCAAGTGCAGCAGCACGCAGCTGCCTGCTGGCTCTCGCCTGCTGCCTAGCCCGCAGCTGCTGCTGCAGCTGACGCTTGCTGCAGCCTACAGGAAGAATGCGGCTCTTCCTGCTGCTGCTGTGGGTGACTATGTGAAGGAAATCTTGCTTGAGGCGTTGGAGCAGCAGAAGCAGCAGCGGCAGCAGCAGCACGAGCTGCTGGAGGCCCCTTGGACGGCTTGCCTCCCAGAGGCGGCAGCAGCAGCAGCTGCAGCAGCAGCAGCAGCTGCTGCTGCAGCTGCTGCGGGCGTTTCTCTGCCGCCTAAGGAGCAGCTGCAGAGCGACGTGGCGCTGCTGCTGCACCGCATCGAAGCTGCAGCAGCAGCGCAGCAGCTCGTGAAGGGCTGGGGCAAAGGCCCTGCAGCAGGAGCAACTTTGCTGGACTTGCAAGCAGCAGCTGTGAGCGAGGAAGCAGCGAAGCGGCTGCTGCTGCCGCTGCTGCAGCACGCGGTGTGGCAGCAGCAGCTCGCGTGCAGCAGCGACAGCAGCAGAGCCGCAGCAAAGTGGGACAAAGCTGCTGCCGAGTGGACTAGCCTGTTCTCTGCTGCAGTGTACGTACACCGCAAACTTGCTGTTGCGCTGCAGCTTTCTGCCTTCTTTCGCCTTCTTGCAGCTTTGCTGTCTTCGCTGCCGCCTCTGCAGACGGCAGACGCGCAGCAGCAGCAGCAGCACCCGCTGCTGCTGCTGCTGCCGCTCTGGAAGGAAGCTGCGCTGCTCTCTGGAGATGCTGCCACCGCTGAGTTCGCCAGCAGCAGCTGCTGCTTGCTGCTGCAGACGGCGCAGCTGCTGATGGACAAAGCAGCACACCGTGTGGGGCCCCACGTGGCTCTTGCTGCTGCTGCGCTGGAGCAGGCAGCAGCAGCTGCTGACGCGGCCTTGCTCGCTCTTCAAGAGCAGCAGCGACAGCAGCAGCAACAGCAGCACCAACAGCAGCAGCAGCGCCAGCTGCAGCACATAAGGACGGAAATCAAGAATGAACTGGCGCTGCATTCCGTTGCAGTTCTGCTGTACGAGATTTTGCAGCTGCAGCAGCACCAACAAAGGGCTAACCTCTCGGCGCTGGGTGCGGCGTCTGCTGCTGCTGCCTCCGCTGCAGCAGCAGCAGCAGCAGCAGCAGAGGCAGCTATCAGCCGCGCGAGAGGCGCTGCTCTCAATGTGCTGCTGTCAAGCGGCGACAGCGACCGCGAAGACCAAGTCAGTGGGGAGTCAGACTGCGCGCTGCCTCACCCAGCAGCAGCAGCAGCAGCAGCAGCAGCGCAGCAAACAGCCCCAACAGCAGCAGCAGCAGCAGCAACGGCTGCGGCGGAAGCCGCTTCTGCCATCCGGCAGCTGTCGCAGCCCGCCGTGCTGCGGCAGCAGCTGCGAACCCCACAGGGCAGGAAGCAGCTGCTTTCCACGCTGCTGCAGAAGCAGCCGCTGCTGGCGCTGCAGCAGCACGAAAAGATGCAGCAGCTGGGAAAGCTGCTGGCTTTAGAGCCTCAAGAGCAGCAGCAGCTCATAGACACTGCAAGGGGCCTTGCCTACAGTGCCCTTGGCGAGCGGCGAGAAGCAACCACTATTGCTGCGACGCTGTTGGCTGCAGAGCTCAAACAAAGGACTGCAGCAGCAGCAGCAGCAGCAGCAGCAGCAGCGCGAGCTGCAGGTGGAAGAGAAGATGGCAGGAAACGGGAAGGCCCTGGAGACAGAGACGACGCTGTCAACAAACGGCTGCGGGCGGCAGCAGACACACCAGGAGAGGCAGCAACAGATGCTGCTGCCGAGAGGACAGCAGCAGCAGCAACAGCAGCAGCAGCAGCAGCAAGTGAACTGCAGGGGAGGACACAGCGGCCTCTGCTGGCTTCCTTAGGGGAAGCAGTCGCAACAGGTTTGGTGCAGCAGCAGGCCCCACGCCTCGCCAGCCGAATACTTGCTGCTGCTGTCTGCAGTGCAGCAGCAGAGCAGTTGCCCCACCTCCTCCGCTCTGCTGCTGCTGCTCGAGCTGCGTGCGCTGCGGCTGCTGCTGCTGCTGATGGCAGCACACAGCAGCAAAGCCAGAGGCAGCCAGCAGCAGGCTGGGAGCCTCAAACGGCAGCAGACTTGCTGTGGACTGCAGCAGCAGGAGAGACAGCAGGAGCTGCAGGAGCAGCAGCAGCAGCAGCAGCAGCAGCTCCGGATGCTGTGCCGTCTGCGGCACTTTGTCCGTCTCAGGCGTCCGCTTTCTGGCTGCCGGCCCAGCGACACTGCCCCTTCACGAGCAGCAGCAGCAGCAGCAGCAGCAGCAGCAGCAGCGGGACGCTGCAGTACCGGACGGCCCGCTCCATTTTACAGCTGTTGGGGTCTGAGGAGCCCGGGGAAGCCGCAGCAGCAGCAGCAACAAAAGCAGCAGCAGCTGTTTCTCGAGGGCCTCCTTCCTTTTTGTTTGTTTCTGCTTTTGAAGCAGCAGGAGACGCTGTAGCATCTGCAGCTGCTAGCGCGAAGCTTCTCTATGGTGCTGCTATGGCAGCAGAGGCTGCTGCGGCTCCTCAAACCCAGCAGCAGCAGCAGCAGCAGCAGCAGCAGCAGCAGCAGCAGCACGGCGTGGCTGCTCCTCTCGACGCACAGGAAGCAGCACGCGTCAAGTCTGTTGCAGCAGCCTTGCGGGAGTGGGCAGTGCTGCGAGAAGTGGAGGAGGGCAGCAGCAAAGGAGATTTGATTGCTGCTGCTTTTTCGCCTTCTCTGGGGGCCCCCAAGGCCCTTTTGCTGCAGCCACAAAGCTGGGCAGTAGCAGCAGCAGCACCGGCCACGCGGGGCGAGTGGGCGCTGCTGCTGCAGCGGGACTTGGGGGTGGCTGTGCTGCTGCTGGCGGCGGTGGGGACAGCAGCAGCAGCGCCGGTGCCTACAGCAGCAGCAGCAGCAGCAGCTGCTGCTGCTGCTACAGAGAAGGCTGCAGATGGGTTGTTGCTGGCCCCGGGCTTCCCCGGCTTCTGCGCGCAGCTGCTGCAGGCAGCAGACTTGACAGCAGCAGACCTCTGCTTAGTGCTGCAGCACCTGCTGCTGCTGGAGGTGCTGCCTCTTTTGCTGCTGTCAGCCCCGCAGAGCTCCTCCCTTGACCGACTGGCCACGGCGATGCTGCTGCTGCTGCGGTTCCTCCGGCGAGTGCCGCAGCAGCAAGCCGCTAGCAGCAGCAGCAGCAGCAGCAGCAGCAGCAGCAGCCAGCCGGTGCTGCTCGGGTCCCGCCTTGTGGGGGACAGTGTGTACAGAAGAGAAGTGCTGCTGCAGATTGGTGCTGCTGACTCCTCTTTGATTGACGCTGCAGCAGCAGCAATGGCTGCTGCTGAGCCTCTCAACGAGCTGCTGCGGACTCTGCCGCCTCTGCAGCCCAAGAAGGGGCTGCTGTCGCGCTGCAGCAGCACAACTGTTTCTCCCATGTCTGCTGCGCCTCCCGGAGACGCGCAGCAGCAGCAACAGCGGACGCACAAGGAGCAGCAGCAGAAGCAGCAGCAGACGCAGCAGCAGAAGCAGCAGCAGCAGCCCGCGGTGGAAACATGCGAAGACCCACAGCAGGCCACTCCGTGCCATTTAGACCCCCAAGCACTCATAGACGAAAACAAAGGGACTTCAGCCAGTGCAAGCCATCCTACTCAGCAGCAGCAGCAGCAACAGCAGCAGCAACAGCAGGAGCAAAGGCTGTCCCAGCTTGCTGCTGCGGCGTCGCTGGAAGAGCCTGCGGCGAGCAGCTGCTCCCCAGAAGAGCCGCAGCTGAGCCGAACTCAGAAGCAGCAGAAACAGCAGCAGCAGCAGCAGCAGCAGCAGCAGCAGCAGCAGCAGCAATTTCTTTTGGGAGAAGAGGGGCTGGCGGGGGAAGGCCTCAGCCTGCGGCTGGAGCATGCGAAGCAAGTGCTGCTGCTGAGCTCTGCCCCGCTGAGTGCAGCAGTTGCTGCTGATGTTTCTGCTTCAGTCTCGCTGCTGCTGCGCGCAGCCCCAGCGCCCTTCGGGCTGCTGCTTGTGGACTCTCTTGCTGCTTTGCTGCAGTCCAACTGCCCCGAAGAGCCTTCCCTCTTCCACCCTGCTGTTGTGCTGCAGCTGTGTCGCCTCACAGCGCAGGGGCAAAGAGAGCCCGCTGCTGCTGCTGCTGCTGCTGCTGCTGCTGCAGCGGGAGCAGCGGGAGCCGCCGCCGACCCCGCAGCAGCAGCAGCAGCGGCCGCAGCAACGCGGCACAGTCACTCGCTGGCCAGCCCTCCTCTTCCTTGCTGCAGACTTTCCTTTAATGAGTTTCAAAAGAGAATACTTTTAGTGAGAAACCTCTTCGCCTGCTGCGTTGCTTCTCTCCAGTGCGATCCGGCCTCCCTGGTGCTGCCGGCTGTCCGCCGCGCTGTCTGCGCAGCACAAGAGTCCGCAGCGGTGGCGGCAGCGGCAGCCCCAGCAGCAGCAGCAGCAGCAGCAGCAGCAGCAGCAGCAGCAGCAGCAGCAGCAGAAGCGGGAGTTGGCTTCACGGAGGAGCAGATGCTTTGTGTTGCTCGTCTAATTGCATCTACAGGGGGTCTGGGTGCGCTAGGGGATGAAGAAACAATTGGGGCTTTGCACTGCTGCATGCCTTCGCTGAATGTTGCAGCTTTGCTGCTGCCTCCTCCTTCTTTGTTCTCTGACTTGCAAAAGGAACAGCAGCAGCAGCAGCTGCTGCTGCTGCAGCAGGGCCCCTCGACAGACACAGAACAAAGGGAAAGCGAGGGAGCTGGGGCCCCCGCGGCCTCGGCGACAGGCGACCCGTTTGCTGCGAGTTTTGCTGCTGCTGCTGACAGCAGCAGCATCGGGCTCGCGCTGGCCTTGCGGCAGCGCGTGGAAACTCTGAGGCGGCGCACTTCGGCTTATCTTTGCTGCATTTCAGTTTTGGAAAAAGAATTGAAGAGAACGAAAGTGCTGACGGACTCTGCCGCGCTGGATGTGCTGGAGGAGTGGGAGGTGCAGCTCGCAGCCAGCCAGCAGCAGCCAGGATCTCAAGAAGAACCCACACTAAATGGCGAATTAAAAAGCAAAGAAACACCAAATGCAGAAGTTCTGAGTAAAGAAACTCAAGTTCAAGACACGCAGCACGGCTCTGCGCAGCCGGCGGCCCAGTCGGCTTCCCGGAGCAGCACGAAAGCAGCAGCAGCAAACGACACTGTCTCGCTGCTGCTGCAGCACGTGCCCACGAAGGAGTGGGAGCAGCTCCTCGAACGCTTCAGGCCCCTGGGGGCCTCAATTCAACTCCTGCTCGTGCTGCGCATGCGGCATCAGCTGCAGCAGCAGCAGCAGCAGCAGCAGCAGCGGGACTGCGAGGCGGCCGATGCAGCGGGTCTCAGCGAGAACCTTGAAGCTGCGCAGAGGCTGCAGGGCCTGCTGCAGCAGCTTGCTGCCGTTCTGCCGTTTGCAGCTTCCTGGGAGCAGCGCCTGGCCACTCCCTCTTCAATCTTTTCGCCCGAACGGCCTTTGCCAGAGGCCGCGGCGGAGCTGCTGACGACAGCAGAGGCTTCGGCTTACGAGGCCTTCAGCGGCGCCTTCTGGAGGCTCGCTTGCCGGCACGTGCTGTCGCGCCCGCGGGAGGCAGCAGACCCAGCAGCAGCAGCAGCAGCAGCAGCAGGAGCTTCTGCTGCGCGTGCTGCTGTCCTGCGGGACTTGGCGTCGCTGCTGTCCGAGGGCTTTCTGGCGTGGCTGCGCCGAAGACTCTCCGCTGCTGCTTCTCAGGAGGAGCAGCAAAGCAGCAGCCCTGCAGCAGAGCCGCTTGGCGGGGCCGCGGAGAAAGCCCTGGAGAAGCTGCTGCAGCGAGTTGGCTGTGTGCCCCTCAAAAGCCCCTGCGAGACCTTCGCCTTTACGTTTTACGTGCTGCAGCAAATCACCAGAAGCTTGGCGGCTTCTGAAGACCCGCGCTGCTGCGGCCTTTCGCAAGAGCCGCAGGAAGCTGTGGAAAACATCGGACTCTTGCGAGTTCTACTGCAGCAAACTTCGGCGCTGCGCAGCAATCTCGAGATTCTCGAAGCAGCAGAGAGGAAGGCCATGGAGGCTCTCGCGGCAGACAGCTTCGAAAGCCTAACTGCCCTTCTGGAGGTGCAGCAAAGGAGCCTCGGGAAGCTGCTGGTCCAGGCCATGTTTCCCAGTGAATTTGACGGACTGATGTGCAAAAGTATTCCTTACAACTGCAAGAGTGACTCAGTGCCGAAGATCGGAGAGGATCGAAGCCCGGAGTTCATCTTCGCAGTGGTCAAGCAGCTTGCAAATTCGGACAAGTCCTCCACACCTGCCAGCGTGTCAGTGCGCATGCGCTGCGCTGCTCTTCTTTTGTGGCGCAGCAGCAGCCCGAAGCAGAAGCAAAGTGCTGCGGGAGGCAGCCAGTCGGGACTCTGGAGCCCCGCGTGGACCAGCACTATTCTGCAGATGCCTCGGGAAGCGCGAGCAGCCCCGCCTTCCCAGTCTAACCAGTGGTCTACGGAGGAACGGGAAGCGTGGCACGCATTAGTCGGTGCTGCTGGCAGCATCGAGGAGTTCACAATCCTTCGGCTGCTCGCGGGGCAGCATGTTGCTGACGATGTAAGCACTTGGGATTTCCCGCAACTGCGCAGCTTAAGTTTGCTGCGTTGGTAGACTGCTGATGCGTTTTCTTTTTGCTGTGGGCTGTGGACACGCATGCAGGCTCACTTACTGTGGAAAGGCCACTCCTCACCTTGCATCCTGCTCATGACAGGAGATCCCAAGCTTCATCAGGAAGCTGTCCACAGCCTTTTAGAAACACTTGAAAGTGGCGAGGTGTGCAGCGGGCAAGGCCTTTGTAATGTTTCCGGTCTCCGTGAATTGCAGCAGCTGCTTTCAGGTGCAGCTGCACCTGGCGGCGGCCCAGATATCCCTGACGTGCTCCAGCTCGCCCACGCGTTTGCAATTGCAAGCCTGCTGCTGCTGACTGGAAATGCCTGTTCTTTTGCCGCCAGTTCGTATTTCCCGTTTATTGTGGAGCTTTTAGAAGAAGATTTGTGGGAGGATGACCCTTGTCGCGAATTCCACGTAAACTGCTTGACAAGCCGTGAACGCTCCGTCTTGGACGAACATACGTCCGCTCGTTGGCTTAAGCACTTTCAGTGCTTCTTACTTAAGTGGTGGTCTCGAGGTGCAGCGGCTTTTAACGTTACTTTTGAACATAAAAGCAATCTCAAAGATTCTCTAGAAGAGAACGAAGTATTCATGCTTCAGGTCATGGCGTACCTCTCACCGTTCGTGAGATCCCTAGGGAAACGACTGCAACAAAGTCTCGTACTCCAACTATGCTTCAATGGCAATTTGAACAAAGCGATGATTCTCGCCAGAAGATTCCGTGACACTGTAGGGAAGAATGCACACAGGCACTATACGTGTGTAATTTTTGCGGCTCATTCTACTTAGTATCATGTGCTTTAAACAAACGGTCATCCATTCCTTTGTCCTGTTGTGTCTGAGCAGATACTGCCGCCAAAGGGAGTTCAAAAGCAAATAGAAATTGCACAATATCTATCGTTCATGGGCACGTGTTTGCCGAGTGGATCATCCAATTCCAAAGCAGGAAATGGCCCGCCTCTTGAAATTATCAACGAAGCCGACGACTTCTTGACCGTCATGCCATCATCTACCACAAGCGTGACATCAAAACAGAAACCATTTGCACTTTTTTACGATATGTTACTTAGTGCTTCTTCTGAATCTTACCCGCCACAGGCTCAAGGGTATCTAACGCAGTTGTTCCCATCTTCATATACGCCACACGAGTACATACAAACTCTGCACAGTTTTTTGTCAAGGTGAGATCCGGTGTTTGTTCTCTATGTACATTCTCTTCAAACTTCATTCAGCAAACTGCTGGGTGCATTCATGGGCCTTGTTCCACTGTATGCAAAGTTCCACAATTTGCAACATTGATATCCACGTTGTATGTAAGCAGGCATATGTAAATTCGAATTTAGACTCTAGCGTATTCCATGTTATTGTTGTGGCGACTCGCCTTGTGCTCTGGAGGAGAATGTGCTTCGCAATAACAAGACATGCTGACGAACATTAGTAGACTGAACGTTTTCGGCTGCTTGTTGATGTGCTCTCAGGGCATCGACTGCGATGCAGCAACAGCTTTCTATGAGCTGCATTGCACACTTAACCTGACTCCAATCAATATGGAAGCTACGCAACTAAGGTCGGCTATTGGACACAGGAATAAACCATGGCAGTTCTACATTGCCCAGTGGCTGGCTGCTTAGGTTTAGCAACGTGACAATCTTGATATATCAACGCGTGTTTGAACTGCATTGCAAAAGCAGGGCCAATACGACCACTTGATTTGACACTGAGTTCACCACTGATGTAATCAGCCGGGCGGCATTTAGTAGACCCGTGTTTCCATAAGAGAATAGACTCTGTGGGGAAGGGAGACGGGGGTGATAGCGTCGACGAGTCTCTTAACGAAAGCTCTTGTATTCTCGTATGAGGGCAGCTTTGCCACGCATTCGTCGAGGGAAGGAACGAATTCGGGGAATCGAATTCTTGGCGGCTCCGGCAGGCGTTCAGCAACGCCCTCCACAGCCTAAAAGACGATTTTTGCAAAGTGTTCTTGCAAAGTGGATTTGAAAGGCTAGATATAACTCACGATCGAAATCGGGTCGCAGATGCACGATAGAATGGCAATATCGTAGAAGCGTTTTGATGAGGCAACGTAGTAGCTGATCATCAAAGCCGCGAACGACAGCGCACTGACAGTCCTAAGGAAAGCAACCATTGCTTTAATGAAGTTCGCAGTCTTTAAGAACCAACTTACAGCGCAATGTTGGTCAGACTTCCACCGTAGAGAAGAGCAGCAGTGTTGCGGCAAGTTGGGGAGGATGTAAGGTCAACATATCCTAAAAAAAAGAGATGGCACGGAGGCGTTTTGTGTAGACGTATTGACGTTCACACTTACCACGCATGATCCACAACAGTGCAACTATCGGGCTGAGAAAGCGCGATATGTGTCGTCTAGATTTCAAGAGGTGGAAAGTAACAGGCATACCAGGCTGCAACGCAGGCCGCGACGTTGAAAGCGGTGGATCCAAACTCGAAGAAGCTTGATTCACAGTTCGTCCAGATGAGCTTGGCCATCACTGAAGCGGAAGTCTTGCGTAGCGGTTACTTTTGGCTTGGGAGTGTGCGTTCCTTACATTTAACGGCTTGTGTTTCGAAGAACAAGGCAGCAGAGCAGGCGGCAGCCAAGGTCAACAGAATGGCTGTGTGGTGAAGTCATTGGAGTCGAAGCGCAGGCGACGTGTGTTCACGCAAGCGTCATACCTCCCAAGAGGCCATTCCAGAACGCCAGTCCTCGGTCACAGTATATTGGCTGTTGGCTGATGCCCTGAAGAGGAGGATGAGTACAAGATTCGAAGCGTCAAAAGATGTCTAGGCTTACCAGGGTCATCGCGGAAATGCCCATGATTGCCGATGAGCACAGGACGAAAAGAAGGGACTTCTCAAGTCCACTCCGAAGTGCCACCTCGGAACGGTCAGCCGTGGGCTCCCATTTACCCAGATCGGCGAAAGAGCCGCTGAGCGACCTCAGGATACTTTGGAACATCTTCGATACAGGAATGTCGAAATCGGCAATTCTGTCGGGGAATTCCGAACCTCACTGCACGAGTGGCAGTTGGGATGGATTCAAAAAAAGTACACACCGCGACACTAGCCGCGTCATGACGTATCAAATTTATCTTTGACGACAGCAGGTGCGACGGCATGCGGCTACAGTTTGAAGTGTATGTACTGCCCAGCAGGCACCTGCTTCCGCCACTCTGTTTCGTCACTATTTATAGTTTTCGAAGCTTTTTCGTTCCCCACTACTTTAATGATTAAAAAAAAGGCCAAATACCGGCCAAATACTGTTTTAAAGCGACGTCTCATAGCTACCGAAACCGACACCGCACAAGAACTTTCGAAAGCAAAGTTCCAACGGCTACTGCCCTGGGAATCCGAAAAAGTGATGCGTCTGCCATGAATTCCTGTATCCGCAGACAGTAATTCATGACGCATCTATGAATAAATTGCTGTGGAAACAGGAATTTATTCGTCGGTTTTTGCCCTGTATGTGGCACAAAATTGTCACGAGGCCATACATATTGCGCTCAATGCAAGATGAATTATTCGCCTCAATGACACAAAAAAGTACAGAAGCATCCAAATCATGAAGTCTTTACAGACAAGGTATTTCTACCCTCCCAGGTGTAAAATTTGCGCCCTCACAAATGCATTCAATGAGCTTCCCGCTGAACGAAAGGGGAACTGTCCGTTCGCCGCCGCAACTATCTTAGTGTTTATAATTCCCATTATCAACATTCTCGCAACGAATTCCCAGTTCAAAACATCAGTTCGGTTTGCAGAAAGCTCCGCCAGAATACGTCGGAAACAAAGGGCAGCAGCCGAGTTTAACTTTGTGCAGCGTCCCGCTCTTGGTTCCACTGGGCGATCATCGCCCGTCGTTCTTCACTTGTTCTTCTCTCAGGCCGTTCAGGGCGGTGAAGGCTTGGTGAGCTGCGCATCACATGCACAATTAGCATTAAATTCATCACTGAAGATCACCCCCGTAGCACGCACTTCAAGAAAGCTTCTGCCAAAGTGGGCTGACTGCACATGAACTCACCGCCTGTGTTTGTGCGGAGAGCCAGATCGCGACCTTGACCTTCGTCCTCCCCGTACCCTTTGTCTATATTCTGGATGCTCCTCATACATTTTGTTGAATAGCTTCCGCTTCAGAGAGCGGGGGACATGCTTGAGGTGCATGAAGTTGCAATAGCCACCACGGCGACACTGGCCATCAACGAACTGACGGCACCGGGCTTCCCTGAAATCGGTAACGGGAGTGAATTCTGCTTGGATAGGTTTCCCTGCAGTAAACAAAACGCGAAGAAAGAGTATGTGTCACAACAGTTCACTATGCTGCGCTATTAATGGCGGCAACAACGGCTTACACCAGAACGCCTGAAATCAGAAAAGTAGCGACAGCTGTTTGGCGCGCACCCGCGTAATACCGGCCTTGAAGGGCGGAAAGCGCCTTCTTCGCAGCGTCATCGTCTGAATATTTCACATATACGTTTCCAATAATGTGGTCTCCAATGTTGTCGCAAACAACCATGTCCTCCACCTCCCCATACTTGTACAGTTCCTCAAAGACTTCGGAAAAGAATGCCTCGAAGTGATCTGCAGCTTCGTCTAGAAGCTCGTCAGAGACTAAACTCGCAAAATACAAACCAGACACAAAAATGCCTTGCAAAGTCCACAAAAGCACTAGACTGACACGACTCTGACTGTCACGTTCTTGAATTATTTCAAGAAGCGTCCCATAGTCCATTCTAAATACAGCCGCATAAACTGACACGCTAGAGGCTCTCAGGCTCATAAGCCGCCTCATTTCACGTTTTGTAGAAGCGAAAAAGTGCAGTGCCACCAACTGATGCGCTTACCATTTTGACCTTCTGCAATCGCTATTGCCACGGGAGGGTTCGGGTACATGTGACGAAGAACAATAGTTGGGGATGAAGAAGGCTTGTAGTGCGACCGTGAGCACTGATCGCCGTGACGGCATGCCCCGATCTTCCAGTAGAAAGGGCAGTTGACTCTGTCCTCCTCCGTTCCAATGATCCGAGCCAGATGCTCCGCCATCGTGAATGTCTGGTGAGAAAATAGAACCCAAGAAGGAAGTTAAAAGCTACCTAGGCCCAAGTTATAGCCTGGTTTTCGCTGAGAAATTCGAATGATCGTCTCTGCTTAACTCCGTCTCGATACTAATGAATTCAACCGGTTCACAACGGCCTGACTTCCAAGATCTCCCGCGACGAGGGGGGATACCTCCGACCAACCAATGTCTTGCATACAGCCTACAATAGGATTAAGCCCGTAGCTACTCAATCCTTTCAAAAGAAGCACTTTTGACTTGTTAAGTCTGCTTCGGAATACGTTCAAGAGCCCCTGCTTTCTTGCTGCTGAACTGCCTGGCTCTGCGCAACTTGAATTGGAAGAGTCAGACGTACGCTTTGAGTCCCTAGCAGCAAGGAGCTTGAAATAAATGCCAATGTAAATGATGAAGCCAACACGCGCTTTAGTTCATTTTCTCAGGTAGAGCGCGCACCTTGTAAATTGGCGCCCATGTCTAATGGCGGCCAGATGCGCATGCGGTTCCCCACATAAACACTCTAAGAAGAAGTTATCTGTCCATCTATTACTCTTGTATTTTGCAATTTGGATTTAGTGCTTTAATGTGGAACAAATCAGGGCAGAAGTATGCTTAGCAGACGCATTTCTCCTCTTTGTTATAGGCACCACGTAGTGGTAGCGAGGGGCTACTGGCTGCTATGCATAGCTGACCTGTTGATAATGAGGTAGAGCATGAACCTTACAGCAAATTCAACCAAGAATTAAATTTCATTACATTCTAATTGAGCATATATTCCTCTTCCTGAGGCTTCGCATTCTTGCGTGCTACGAGTTCCGGTGCTGCTCGAGCCCTGTGCAAATTCCCAGGACCGTGCGGTTATCAATGCGTGTCTTTGCTCTGGTTTTGACCGCTAGATAAGATGCAAACAAGCGGCCCAGTATGGTAAGAAATGTAGAAGCCCTACATATCTGTTCAGAGCTGGGCAAAGCCAGTCAGCCGTCTCATGGGGGGGCTTTGGTGTGCTGGGGCATTCTAATGTAGCACAGCTCCACAGCACAATAGCAGCAAGCTGGAGCTCCTCGAGCGTTTTACAAAGAGGTAAAGCTAGCCATAGTTAGCAGAAGCTGCTGCTGCTGACTGCCGCAGCACTCGCAGCAGCTTCGCGATATGTGAGCTTCGTGATGGCCTGAACTTGACTGCAGTGTTTTGAAAATATTCCGCATTAATTGGCGGGCCGAGTCTTTTGAATAAAGTACTCTCATTTCAAATTATTAGTTGCAGCACAGTGAAGCAAAGGGGCAGTGCACAATCCAAAAGGCTCAACATTGTGAACAGAATCATTTGCGACTATTCCTCAAGAACTTGAATTTTGCCAAATTTCCTTCAAACGTCCATTCTCCAGGCGCATCTCGCATTGTGCAGCTTTTATTCTGCTGCATACATTACCCACAAATTTACATCATGAATCCTTTCATGGCTCGAGATGTAAAGTGCCCGCCATCTACAGAAGACCTGCGTTTGGCGAAAATGCACCGCAGGATCGTTGCAAAGTGCTGGCAATTGGCGGTGAACAAGTATTGTTTTTGAAATATTAGCTAAATGATGCAATGAAGTGTTTCCTGTTGGCCCAGGAAGGCTCCAGGTTCTAACTTTTGTCTCATTCCTTCAAAGTACTTTGCAGCTTTCTCTAATGGTGGTGAGGAAACGAGCGAACTGAAATAGTCCGTTAGGACAAGGCTAAACATGTTCATGCTCTGCAGAGAAAACACTAATGTGGCTTTGACGCCTCAAAGCCAGCTGAATGGAGATTGATAATCTGCAAAGGAGAGTTCAAGTTAATTTGAAAGTCCCTCCTTGCGCACCCTTGCAGCTTCCTGCTTCTTGAGACTTTAGCCTCATATATGACTTCTACATGTCCTTTATTTTCCAGATTTTCCCATCATTCATTTATCCCAACTTCACAAGCCTCGAAAAGTCGAGAATTGAGAAGTGCGAAAAGTGGAAAACATTCCGTACATGAAGTGGCACCAGTGCGGCCAGTTGTGATTATTTTTCGTCCGTTTTACCTTAGTTCGTAATATTTTCTTCAAACTGCATGCATAACGGAATAAAACTTGTGTTTTTCTTGAAAGTACATGCGCAAAGACATAACAGGTCGAAAGCTGCCTCGGCTCTACGCAATTTGCAGCTAACAGATGAATTTGAATAAAGTGGCTAGAGAGCCAGCTTCCCAGTGCAGCGCCAGCATCAATAAATGAAAACTTAACTTTAGGAATATTCCATCAATTGATGAAGACGAGTGGAGTTTGTATGGGCTTAAACTATAAGAAATATATGTTGTGTATGAAGCTGAATTTCGCAAGGGCCTGAAGCTGCAAGGCCGCCGAGGCCGACAAGAAGTGTTTGCAGATTGAGTTGAACTAGCATTTGCGAGTTAAGTTGAATCACATTTGAGGATTATGTTGAACAGGCATCTGCAAATTAAGTTAAAGTTTATTTGCAGATTAAGTTGAATTATTCCTTGTGGATCATTTGCGTCTTTGACGGCTCTTGTGCTCATGTGCAAATGCGAAGTTGGGGTGAGTAATTTGTGTCCTGATTGCCCCAGTTAATTGGGAAAAGTGACTTATGCAAAAATGAACTTCTACAACTGCATTAAGTAGCTGTGTCCCTTAGTTTCCCGCCCCGCTGCTGCCCTGACAGCCCACGGCCTGGCTCGCTGGCTGGCGGCGAGGAAGCAGCGCCTTTGTGCAGATCTGAAGCTAAAAGGCGGCAAAATGCAATTTATTTGATTAAAAAGATCAAGTTTGGCGTTTTCTCGTGAGGAAGTGGTTTGGGGCGTCGAGCTGCACTGCGTCGATACCCCCCAGCAAGACGCAGACGCAAGACACCCCAGCAGCGAGCAGCCGGCGGGCAAGGCCGGCCCCAGTGTCTTCTTTGTCTCCCATAACAACAATAAGAGGGAGGCGGCTCATAGTGGGCGAAATCCAGGGCTTTCGGGGCGCTGGGGGCCCCCCCTGGGCTCGCTTTGCTGCTGCAGCTTCCTGCGGGTCGGGAGCTGCGGGCGCTGCTGCTGCAGCAGCTGCTGCTGCGCCCGCAGCCGCCTCCAGGCCCGCTGCTGCTGCGGCGCGGCCCGCCTTGCCAATCAGCGGCCTGCTGCTGCCCAGCTTCTGGACCTGCAGCAAAACGCCCCTGGGGTCGGGCAGGGCCAGCTGGCCCTCCTTCAAAAGGCCAGCGAGCTCGCCCGCGTCTCGGGGGCCAACGCTCACTGCGGACTTGAAGTGAAATGCGTCGAAGACCCCGCGCGGGCGAACGTCCAGCACTAGGCTTTCTTCGCAGAACTGCAGCAGCACGTCCACGCCCACGCACGGCGGCTGCAGCGCGAGGTCTTCGCCGCTGCTGAGGCTCTGCAGCCCCGCAGCAGCAGCGCCTCCGCCCCACAGCGGCGAAGTCCTTTCCAGGTATTCGCTTTCGCTCACTTTCTCCCACCACCGCGGGGCCAGCGGCTCGCTGGAGTAGAGCGCGTCCATGGGGTCTGTGCAGCTGCACTCCAAAGCCGGAACAAACACAAATATAAATAAATAAATAACAATTAATGTCATAATAAAGCGGATTGGGCGGGAAGAAAATGAAAGTGGAGTGCAAGACACTGGACGGACACACGCAGCGTCCTGAGTGTCAGTGGCTAGCGGAAACTCTGTGGCGCGAGCAGTTCTGCGGCACTTGAACGAATTTCGGAACTTTATAAAGCAAAATGAAAACTAATTGGAAAGTTTCCGGGATATTCCCGCGAGAAGAAGAGCAGCAGCGCTCTGTGGCCTGAAGTTCCTCACTGCGCGTCTTCGCCTCCAGACTGAGTCTGTGCAGCTTTGGCTGCTGCGGGCTTTCGAGGAGGCCCCAAGAGGATCAGCGCGGGGCCCGTGACGACTCGCATGAGGGCTTTTGTTTTCCAGTTTGTTCTTTTTCTCGCGCTTTCCCCCTCTTCGCCTTTCGTGCTGCTGCTGGCAGCTGCTGCGGGGCTCCGCGAGGAGTCTGGAGATCTGCTGCACTCGTCTTTTTGCTGCAGAAACGCCTCAGTCTGCTGCCCCTGGCTCTGCGCTGCATCTCCAATGAAAAACTGCTGCGCCTCTGCCGCCAGTTGCATTTCTTTTGCATCTTTCCCGCGCCCTTCAGCTGTACGTACACCTCCCGCACCAGCTCCCCCCTCGGGCCTTTCCTCTGCTGGCCCGCGAGCTGCTGCTGCTTCCGGGGGGAGCCGCGCAGCTTCTTTGCGCGGCGGCGCAGCAGCAGCAACTGCCTCCGAAGCGCCAGCAGCAGCAGCTTCAGCAGCAGCAGCAGCAGCTGCTGCTGCTGCTGCTGCGGCGGCTGCGTGCGGGGGGACGGGCAAAAGAGTCAAGGACCAAGGCACAGCGTTCTGCAGAGCCACTGCTGCAGCACAGAGCGCTGGGACATTGACGAATTCGAAAGAAGACTGCAGCAAGCGAATGGCTGTGGACTCTTCGCCGGGGGAGAAGCTGAGGAGAGGAGTTCTCAAGAAGTGCAAGACACAGACTGTGAGGAAGTGCACGAAGCTCGGCGGCTGCAGCAGCAAAGTGTCCCACAGCAGCAGCAGCTGCTGCAGCGGCAGCACGTGGGAGAACAGCGTCAGGTGCCACGACAGCGCGTACATGTCCGAGTGCAGTCCTGCAGCAGCAAAAAGGTCTCTGCGAGTTTTTCGAACTTTGCTGCTGCTGCTGCTTCTCCCCCTTGCTTCCCCACCCCGCCTCGCCCAGCAGCAGCAGCAGCAGCAGCAGCAGCAGCAGGTCAGGTTACCGATTCGGTTGATGTGCAGCGCGAGCTCAGGGTCGAGGAAGAAGAGGAGTCTGTTGGAAGTTGCGAGCTGGCGGCGGAGGAAGCAGGCGCTGTCTGCAGCAAAAAGGTGCTGCTGGAAGTCCTGCAGCAGCTTCTCGAGGCAGCTCAGCGCCACGTTTTGCTGCTCGTAGAACAGCAGCAGCAAAGGAGCAGCAAGAGCGTCCAGCCCCCGCACTGACACATAACTCGAGTTCCGCTGCAGCGCCACTCCCACCAAACTCGCCAGCCGCCGCCGCCCTTCTCTGCTGCCCAGCAGGTCGTGGTACTGTACATACACCTCCGCAGCGCCCCCCTACGCTCCACCAGCAGCAGCAGCAGCAGCAGCAGCAGCAGCAGCAGAAGCAGCAGCAGACGCGCAGCAGCAGCGGCAGCAGCAACGCAGCAGCAGCGGAAACACAGCAGCAGAAATGCAGCAGAAACGCAGCAGCAGCAGCAGCAGAAATGCAGCAGCAGCAGCAGCAGCAGCAGGTTGCTGCACCTCATGGTACTGCGAGAACTCGCTCGTGTGCAGCGCCTCGAGGGCCCCCTGCCCCAAAGCAGCAGCGGCCTCTTCGTAGGCAGCCCGAGTGGTGTGCAGCACTCCGACATAATTGACTCCCAGCACCGCGGCCCAAATCTGCAGCAGCAGCAGCAGCAGCAGCAGCAGCAGCAGCAGGTGTGGCAGCGGAAGGGGGACGCCCGCAGCAGCAGCCAGCACGCCAGCAGCAGCACCAAGGACACTGCCAACAGCAGCAGCAGCAGCAACACAGCAAGAATACTGTCAACAGCAAAAGCAGCAGCAGCAGCAACAGCAGCAGCAGCAGCAGCACACTGCGCACAGACCTCTGGCCGCAGTAAAGGGGGCACGTCCTTTGCTGCTTCCTCCATGAGTCGCTGTCTGCTCTTTGGCAGCTGCGCCAGCAAGGACTTGAAAAGTCGAACTCTGAAGAAAAAGAAAATTAGGAAAGAGATGAAAATAAAAAAGAAAAAGATGGGAAAATGATGGACAAAAAAGATAGAAAAAGAGGAAAAGAGATGAGCAGAAACAGACAGAAAAAAAAGGAACGAAATGAACAAAAAAACTTTCAAAAAGCCACAAAAGTGCAGTAAAAGCCCAAAGTTCAAAAGTTTCTCTTGTGACAAGTTCCCCCAACTGAAAGCTGCAAAAGATGCTTGAGGTGTCTGTACACCTGAGTCGCTGGTAAAGGAAGTGGCAGTGCCTTCGCTGCAAAGATGGAGGCCGCACCTGCAGCAGCAGCAGCAGCAGCAGCAGCGGCAGCAACAAATCAAAACAGACTTTCAAGTGCAGCAGCTCCTAAACCCTAAACCCTATACCCTAGATCCTAGAGCCTCAGTCCCAAACACTAAACCCCAAACCCCAAACTGTAAACCCCGGACCCTAGAACCTAAACCCTAAACCCTAAACCCTGGCTGGCTGAGCTGCAGAGAGACAGAGAAGCAGCAGGCCACAGGCAGCAGCAGCAGCAGCAGCAGCAGCAAAGCGAACCTCCAGCATTTGGCGAACTGGAAATCTGTCGGCCTCTTGAATTGCTTTCAAGGTTTCGTCGACAGAAACTCCTGAGAAGAGGGCAGTTGAGCATTTCACTGGAGTTAAAAATGAATTAAAATTATTTAAAAATGAATTAAAAATTAAAAGCAAAAAAGAAATCAAAAACAAATTGCACAAGCATACACCCCAGCAGGCGAGGCGGCGAGCCCCGCGGAAGCAGCAGCAGCAGCAGCAGCAGCAGCAGCAGCAGCAGCAGCAGCAGCAGCAGCAGCAGCAGCAGCAGCAGCAGCAGCAGCAGC